ATTGCAGTTATGGAGGATGACTAAGTCTAGAGATCTAATACACAGAGTGATGACTATAGTTAATAATGCTGTCTTCGACACTGGAGATATGCTAAGAGAGTAGATCTCAGGTGCTCTCATCACACACAAAAAATGGTAACTATGTTAGGAAATGATATGTTAATTAGGTTGACTGTAGTAATCATTTCACTATATATATGTATATCAAATCATCATGTGGTAGACCCTAAATATATACAATATTTATTTTTAAAAATATATAAATAAAAGAAAAAATAAAATTAAAAGATCCCCAAGTGATTGGTAGGGACAGCAAGTTTTAGGAGAATTGTAAAATATTACACAGATGTTAATCTCAATTTCCACTAAAATAATTAAGGTAATGATACTAATTTATACACACACACACACACACACACACACATCCTCCCTTGCAACAGCATTTCCTCTTCTCCCTCCATCGACTCCCCACAACCACCACCACCATTTCCTGCAAGCTCACAGTGCCACCTTCTGGGAAAACAAATGCAGGACATCTGAGCCACTCAGGAAAATAAAGCAGATGCCAGATGTGATGCGCAGAGCAGGGGGGACTCACAAGCCAAGAAGACCCTGTAGAGAAGTGACTTTGCCAGAAGATGATACCATGTCCAAAATGGTAATCACTAGCCACACAGGGCTGTTCAGCACTTGAAATGTGACTGGTCCAAATTGAGATGTGCTGTAAGTACAAAATGGATTTCAAAGACATAGTACAAAAATATGAAAGTAAAATATCACACTATTAGTTTCTATATTGATTACATGTTGGAGTAATATTTTAGATATATTGGGTTAAATAAAATATATTATTAAAATTAATTTCACCTGTTTACTTTTACCTTTATAATGTAATTACTAGAAAATTGTAAATTACGTATGTGACTGACATTATATTTCTCTTGGATGGCATTGATGTCAGCTATATTTTTTCAGAATATAGGCTCCCATGGATCTTAATTTCTTCTCCCTCAAATATGTCACCACAAGAAGCCTTTACCTCTGCACTCCGGTAATTCTCCTTCTGGCCTCAGTCCCACAAACAACATCCAACAATCCTTCAGGGCTTGCAGCACATTCCTGTAGGAATCACCAGCCCCAGAAAAAAGCCTGGCACATAGCAAGCACACAATAAACATCTATGGAATGAATGAGTGAGTAAGTGAAGGGCCCTCAAGTAGAGGGACACATGGTCCTGGATGGATTTCTTTCTAGAAGAAAACGAATTATAAGTTATTCAGAGCAAAATTTGGTGAATTACATGGGACAAATCAAATCAGATACATCATTTATTATTATCAAAACCAAGGCCTGATTACAAAGTCATGTAACAAGTTTTCTTAAGGCTCTCCCAATCCAGAACTATTCAAACTTGGAGTCAGAGGTCTCGTTTGCAAGTTGTAAGTTGTGCTTACAAGCTGAGTGGCCTTGAAAATCCCAGAGCTTCAGTTCCCTGGCCTCCGCAGCCACACCTCATCCATTACTCATCCTTTAGCACTCATTTCTGTTAGCGCTTTATGGCTTTCCAAGCACTTCCTCACCTGTTAGCTTGATTGATTTTCACAACTGCTAGGAAGAAAGCCAAATAGTGAATGTAACACCTGAAACCATAAAGCTCTTAGAAGAAAACATAGGCAGTACACTCGTTGACATTGATCTTAGCAGTATCTTCTTGAATGTGTCTCCTCAAGCAAAGGAAATGAAAGAAAAACTAAACAAATGGCATTACACCAAAGTAAAAAGCTTCTGCATGGCAAAAAAAAGCCATCAACAAAACGAAAAGAACACCTACCAATTGAGAGAAGATATTTGCAAATCATATAGCCAATAAGGGGTTAATATCCAAAATATAAAGAACGCATACAGTTCAATAACAACAAAAATAAACCCGATCAAAAAATGGGCAGAGGATCTGAACAGGCATTTTTTCAAAGAAGATACACAGAAGGCCAACAGGCACGTGAAAACATATTCAACATCACTAATTGTTAGGGAAATGCAAATTAAAACTACTATGAGATATCACCTCACTCCCATCAGAATGGCTATTATTGAAAAGACAAGAAATAACAAGTGTTGGAGAGGATGTGGAGAAAAGGGAACTTTTGTACACTGCTGGTGGGAACGCAAACTGGTGCAGCCATTATGGAAAACAATATGGAGATTTCTCAAAAAGTTAAAAATAGAACTACTATATGATCCAGCTATTCCGCTTCTGGGTATTTATCCAAAGAACACAAAAACACTAATTGGAAAAGACACATGCACTCTTATGTTCATTGCAACATTATTCACAATAGCCAAGAGTTGGAAGCAACCTAAGTGCCCATCAATGGATGAATGTATAAAGAAGATGTGATGTATATTTTATACAATGGACTACTACTCAGCCATAAAAAAGATGAAATCTTGCCATTGTGACAACATGGATGGACCTTGAGGGTATTATGCTAAATGAAATAAGTCAGAGAAAAACATGTATGATTTCACTCATACGTGGAAGATAAACAAACACATAGCTAGGGAGAACAGATTGGTGGTTACCAGAGGAGAAGGGAGTGGGGTGAGGATGAAAGGGGTAAAAGGGCACATATGTATGGTGATGAATGGCAATGAAATTTTTGGTGGTAAACACGATCTAGTCTATACAGTAGTTGAAATATAATGATATACACCTGAAATTTATATGAGGTTATAAACCAATGTGACCTCAATAAAAAAAAGAAAGCCCGGTGGCACTATTTATTACCACTTTTTAATAAATGATAAGTCAACTGATTATCCAATTTCCAAAGGTAATTAACAAGGCCAAGACTACATCCTTTCTCTCCACCACCTGCTGCGTGCCTTATCCATTGCATCACGTGGTTATTTTAAGGCCTTACGGCTGATTTGCAGTTTCTAGGTATTTCATGTATACATATTCTTTAAGAGCATTTGACTGGTTTATGGATTTGTTAAAACTTTCCATTTTTCTGGCTTCAGTCTTCTCATCTGTAAATTGGAAGGGTAGAACTAAGTGATCTCTCAGATCCTTTCTGATGCTGAAATGGTACGAATCTCTGAAACTTGGCTGAATGTGCACCAAAGGCAGAAGCCCTATGTTTCATTCCCTTTGCACCTCGCCTACAGGATTTTGCACACGCATAGTTCTTCAAACAGGTTGGCTGGCTTTGCCTTGCAGAAGAAGAGAGCTGGAATGTCCCTTGCTCTCACTGAGCCCACTTCTACACATAGACACACACAACTTCCGGCTGATCTTGGAAGGAAAAAGCACATGAAGAGAGAAATAAGAGAGTGGTACTATTTAAGTTGTCTGGACCAAACCCGTCCAGAGGATCCACATCTCAGATTTCATCTTCATGAAATATTTAGTGAGTGTTTCCTGGAGCTCCTGTGAGTGGCAGAGGCTGTCCTTCCTGGCATTCTCTCTGTGTGCAGATCCCTGGGCCCGGATCTCTCTGTGCTTCTCTGATCCTGATCTCATCCTCTCCTAGTGCTGCTGTCACTGTGTCTTTGTCTTTTTCTCCTCTCTCTCTCCATCTGCTTCCCCAGAGGTCCTTCTCGGTTTCTGTTCCCCCTCCACCCTTGCATGTCTGCCTCTCTCTCTGCCACTGTCGCCCCTGCCCAGAAGATGCGGTGGAGTCTGTCCTTTGGAGGCCTCCCTGGGACAAGGGCCTGTGTAACTCTCCTCTGCTTTGCCCTCCAGAGCACCACATGCCTGAGCAGGGAGAATCTTCAGGACTGTGGAGACAAGACGCCCTGTGGAGAAGAAAAGCCGGACCAACCAGGGTGCCCAGAGGGTAGGGGCTGGGGCTGAATTTGCGCCAAAAGAGTTGGGGGTAAAGTTAAGGAATGGGGAAAGAAAAAGTCCCTCCCTGGCTTCATGAGACCCCTGGACTGAGCTGGGCTGGGCTGGGCTGGGGTCAGAAGCCCCTGAGTGGGAAAGAGAGTAGTCAAGGGTCCACGTAGAGGCCCTGGAGGAATCACCTGGGAACCACAGCCCCTGGAAGTCAGTCTTCACCCTAATTACCGTGTTCCCATCACCGCACAGGCAGGCTTTGCCCTGGTTCACCACCTGCTCCCTGTCCCCCTGGAGCTTTCCACTCTGGAGCCGGTCCCCACAACACCCCCTTCTGCCACCTCTGCCCTCGGGGATTCTTCAACCCCTGGCCTGGCCAGAATGCCTGTTTCCCATGTGGCTCGGAGGCCACCCAACCGGAGGAGGGCAAGGACACATGCATCTGCCCAGGGCCTGGGCGAGTGTTCCAGGTATGTCCTCTGGCAGTGGGACCCAAGGACAGGCTGCATTTCCAGAGCTGTTTTGGTCTGAGTCAGGTTCAACTCAGGTGTAACCTGACCCGGGTTAGCTCAGGTTTCCAAGTGACTCACGGATAGGGTTGCTGGATAAAACACAGGGTGCCCAGTTAAACTTGAATTTCAGATAAATTACGGATAATTGTTTAGTACATTTCAAATAGTGAACGGGACATACCTATACTAAAAGAGGATTCATTGTTTATCTGAAATTCAAATGTAACTCAGCACTCAGCACTCTGCATTTTTATTTGCTCAATCTGGCAGCTCTACCAGAAGGAAAGGGCAGGCTGTTGTTCTCCACCATGACCTCGCCCCAAACCCACCCTGGCTCAAGCCCTTCCAATTCGAACTTTCCCTATAAGCCAAAAAATATGCATGTGAACTCTTCCTTTCCTGAAATTCCCAAGTCTTTCGGCTTGAAATGGTAGCACCAGCTGGACCCTGACCAGCACGTGCCTGTAACCTTCCCCTCTGATGTGACTCCTTTCCAGCCCTGTTGATCCCTCACTTCCCCTCCTCTGCCCTTATCTTCTGGCCCATCTCAGGCAGGGTCACAGCCCAAGGGTTGTGTGTGGTTCACCACAACGGAGTATTAACCAGCCAACCAGAAACTGCATTCCCTCCCTCCCCAACCCCCAGCCCAGCGACGGGCAGTGCCCCTGCCTCCCTGGCTACCAAGATGTTGGAGAGCCAAGGGGCTGTGTCCAGCAGGAACACAAGAGCTGCAAGGACGGGGCCACCCGGAATCAGGAGGGCCTGTGTTTGACAAAAGATCAATGGAAAGACCACTGTGCCCATGAGGTAGGAGGCTGCCATATATCTTACCCCTTGCAGTCCTGGCCCTCTGCCCAATCACTCACATGCCTAACCTCCTAGCTGCTGGGTTCATTCCACTAGCCCCTCTCTAAAAATATGGAGACTTGTACTCTATACTCTGAAGTGGGGGAGAATTGGGGAAAACTTCCCACAAGGAGGTATACCCAAGAAGCTTGAGTCTTTGTGCAGGTGTGTGTTACGCCGGGAGATGTCCATGGCTATGACCCAGGCCTGGGGCTCTGTCTGTGCTGGGGACAACACTCAAGTGGAATGTGTGGCCCCCTGTGCCCAGAGACACAGAGACACATCCTGCAGCTCAGCTGCTCCGAGAGCATCCCGCAGATTTCCGTCACTGAAGGCACCAGAAGGCAGGTACAGTGCCCAGAGGTCCAACCCTAGGCTGAGCTGGGGCGACTGCAGAAAGCACAGACCCAGGACCTGTGGCCTCTGCCTCCTAAGAGAGAGCATGTGTGATGTGCTCGTGCACGGGGCCCAAGGCCCTGCTCACAGACCCACATCATTGGCACAACCTCTGGTACCAGAGAAAAGGCCCCGTTCTTGCTTTAATTTCATCCTATAAAACTCCTTGAAAAAGTCATTGTGTTCATTAAAGAGGGAGAAACTGTCATGGAAATTGTCCCACATGAGCAAGGGACAGTACCCAGAGTCATGACTCCAGGTTGCACCTGCCCCACAGAGCTCTTCGTCCTATTCCCACCACCACCACCTCCCCTCCAACCCAGTCAGGACATTCTGACAGAGCTCGAGGAAGGCCCTCTGCTCTCCCCACCTGCCTGCCAGGCCAGTGCGGTACTCACAGCGTCTGGGAAGACCTGACACTGGACCTCCCCTTCCCAGGAATTTTCCCTTCTGGATAGGCCTTCCTCACCACGTGCTGTGGGCCATCCCTGCAACTTGGACCAAGGGCAGAAGCCTGTCCCTCTGTATGTGGTCAGGATGGACGGTAAGAGAGCTGGACAGAGGGAGGCCCCAGGGAGAGCTACGGCTCAGGACCACATGTGGGTAAGGCTTGTCCTTACCTGGTGTGGACATTGCCCCCGCAAGCAGAACCTGGTGGATAATGGGTGACACCTCCCCCATGGGAAGCTCCCCAAGAAGTGCATGTGAATTCTGACCCCTTGCTTTTTTAGAAAGTTGAATCCTGCCGTGCGCAAGTTCAGGGATGGACAGCCTCTGTTGTATCCATGCACTAGGAAAAACTCTCCCCAGGCCTTGCAGGTTCAGCAAGATCCCTGTCTTGTTCTAGGGACTGGCTTCCTGGGCCTGACCAGACCAGGTCATGAACTACTGCACTCTCTTGGCCTGCCCCTCAGGGATCCAGGGCTCCCAGGCCAGGAAGCAGGTGAGCATCACAGCTGCCACCTGTTGCCTCTCTTCCTCCTCCTCCACCCTTCCCAGATCCGAGCACAAATCCACCTGAAGAGTGGCTACTCTTCCTCATGTTCTGAATCTTGCCCAGGAAAGTCAAGGGAAGGACGTCTGAGCTCTCCTTGGTTGCTGAGCCTCAACTCCACACGCCATGGGGATCTGTCTCCCCCAGAGCCAGGCATCCAAAACCCTACAGTCTGCCTCCAGACCAATGATACACTGGCCTTCCTGGTGACCCGTGAGCATTACCCCGAGTATGACCTGTGAGTGTCCAGAGAACACCACCCTGCCACCATCAAGGCCCTGGGTAGGAAATGCTCCTGTGCCTGCAGCCACTTCCAAGAGACAACACCCTCCTTCCTTTCTCCATCCCCAGGGGCCACTTCTATAACACCGTAGAGGAATTCGACTGGGGGCGCTTCCGAGCCCTGGCTGAGGAGTCCCAGCTCCAAGATCAAAGCCCCTACCTCTTTCTGCAGCAGTTCCAGCAGCCTGGGATCTACGTCTTTCGTCTGAGCAGCAATCGGCATCGGAAGATGGTTTGTCTCTGATGGTTTGCCTCATTGAAGACATTATCCCACCATCCCCCCTCGCTTTAAAAAATACTGCCTCCTAACCATCCCAGACAGATCTCTAAGGAAGGCAATGCCCTGGATGCTCCGATCAAGGTTTCAGTATCAATCCTAGCAGATAATTCTGGGGATGCCAAAGGTTCACTTGATAGCAGCCCACCATGTGATGTGTAAAGAGGGGAGGACTGTGAGGATGACAATACATTGTGTATCTAAGGACATCCAAATGTCTGGCTGTCTCTCACGGCTCTCCATTTCATTGCCCCTCCCCTTGTTTCATCCTGAAGGCACACATCCCAAGCCCATCTACACAGGCTCTTATCCATGTGACCTGCACATGATGCCACCGCCGATCCAGGGGCACTGTCTTGGTCACACACAGGATCTAGCATCTCCATCCATCAGCACAACTTCTAAGAGGTTGTGCTGACCTAGCCCCGGAAGATGCAGTCAGCTCCCCAGACAGTTACCTGATGTGAATTCATTTCCCAGGGAAAACCCAGATTCTGCTTCCCCCAGGGATGTACAAAGATCTGGACTGCTCGGTTACTGTTGACAGGCCTGGGTTCCCACTCTGTCCCCTGCCAGTCTCTGGCAGTGAGGCAAAGGCTGAACAGACTTCTTTCCACCCAGTACATCCGCACCCTCCCACCAGGGGGCCAGTGCTTTGGGGAAGGGCCCTTTGCCTCCACAACTCCCAGGTATCTGATCCAAACTGGCATCGCCAAGATCCCCAGACCCCCGAAGAGGTCTGGCTGGCCCGGAGTCCTCGGGGGGACTGTCCTGCTCCTGGGACTATGCCTGCTTCTGTTGGTGAGTAAAGCTGTGAACAAGTAACATCTTGACCGCTATGCAACACCACCTCTCCAATCCCATGTGAATGGGTCTTCCAGTCCCCGTTTGCAGTAGGCATGACAATAGTTGCTAAGATGAAAAGTGACGAAGGAGGAGCCTCAGGCCTCCAGTGGTCAAAGTTTAGGAGGAAGAATAATAGACAAGGAAACAAATAAATGTCAGAGAGTGTTACAGAGTATGTCCATATAAAGTGTGTCCAGGGTGCCCTGGCTGCACAAAGGAGAGATTGATTGTTCTCCCTGAGGGGCATGAGGACAGAGGACAGACTTTCACAAAGTCTGCGATCCCTGAAAGAGGCTTGAAATATGAGCTGTATAGGAATGTGGTCCCTGTGCTAACAAAGGGATTGGTGAGCTGGAGTAGGGGGAGGGTAATCTATTTGGGAGGAGGAGTGGGGATGAGAAAGGGAGTATTGTGAACAAAGGCACAGAGGCGTGAAATGGCATTCACCTGCTCAGGAAACCAAACATGGTCCCCTGCAACTGGAGCTTAGGCTGCAAGGACAGGAATGAGCTTGGAACTGAGAGAGAGACCAAATTGTGGGTGGTCTCAAGGGCCCTGCTAAGGAGTCTGGACTTTATCCTCTAGGCAGTGGGGATTCATTAGGAATTTTTAGCAGGGGAGAAACCCTGGTAAGAATTTTTTTTCTTTTTTTTTGCTTAGGAAGATTGGCCCTGAGCTAACATCTGCTGCCAATCTTCCTCTTTTTGCTTGAGGAAGATTTGCCCTGAGCTGACGTCTGTGTCAGTCTTCCTCTATTTTGTATGTGGGTCACCACCACATCATGACTCATAAGTGGTGTAGGTCTGTGCCAGGGAAATGAACCGTGAACCCAGGCCACTGAAGGGGGGCACGCAAACTTAACCACTAGGCCACAGGGCTGGCCCCCAAGACTTTTATTTTTACGCTAGCAATAGGGTGGAAGACAGAGATGGATTAGAGAGTAGAAAGCTACAAAGAGATAAGCTGTTAGAATGGTCCAAACAAGAGAAAACAAGGTGCTCCCTATCCAAAGCTGAGCAGAGAGCTTCCTCCTCTCAGAGTCTTCAAAAAGGATGCTTCTCCCTCAGTTTTCCTTTATGTTCATATCATCACATTATGTACCTTGTAGATTCAGTATCAGAGCCTGAGCTGGGCCCGCAAGGCCGCTCCTCACCCCACCTTCCGGAAGCATCAGCAAGGATACAACCTGGCTGCCTACACTTTCCCAAGAACTGGGATGACATCAGTGAGGAGAGGCCGGTCACACCCAGACCCTGAGACCCCCGGAGTTGAGGGAGGTCACGGTGAGTGACAGACTTGGGCTAGAATCCCCGAGGGGCCCCCAAATCCACCTGGCTGGCTCCTGCTTCCTTTGTCCATCTTCCTAGATTACTCATTGTTCCAGTCCTCTCCATTCATTCAGTCATTGGCTCAGTAAATATTTACTGAGTGGCCACTGTGCCAGACACTGCCAGGTTCTAGGAGCACACAGTGCAGAGAGGAGTAGAGACATCTAAATACAAACTTTCCAAAAGAAAGGTACAATCACCGTGAACAAAGTTAGGAAACGACCAGGACTACGTGGAGGAGCGGATTGCAGAAGGCGTTACGTGTCCTGCTGAGGGGTTTCACCTTCTACCCGTCTACTCGAAGTCTGGTCCCCAGAGAGCAGTGCTGGAATTTATCCTTCTCAAACTTGAATGTGATTATTAATTGCCTGGGACCTTCTGCTGCAGTAGGTCTGGGATGGACTTAGAATTCTGCATTTCCACCAAGTTCCTCAGCAAAGCTACTGCTGCTCATCCAAAGGCCACACCTTTAGTAGCGAGTCTGTGTCTAGATGGTTGAGGGTCTGCAGGAAGCAGACACATTGGAGATCTGTAGAGAAGCTCCTATTTGCGTTTCAGGAGGATGACCCTGCTTCCCTTCCCCCACAGAGGGGAGCTGGGAGCCCGAGGAGCAGGTGGACCTGGAGTGGTTTGACACGGAAACCTTCTTTGGGATCCTGCTCAGGCAGTCTCTGTCAGTGACAACCAAACTCAGCCAGACCAAGGAGGAGGTGAGTGGAGAAGCCAGAGAAGCAAGTGGAGCCAGAACAGGTTTGTCTACGGCAGAGTTGGGCCATCAAGACTAAAGAAATCCTCAGTCCGTGCATAATGAAGCAGGAAAACAGGAGAGTATACGGGGAGGGGATAGAGAAGATTTCTGGTTAAATTTTGCACCGATAGGATGAGACCTAGGGCCTCAGATCAATGGTAGGAATCTACCAAGGCCATCTCTGGAGTCTCTTAGATCCCCATTCCTGGTCCTTAACCCAAGTGGGTGAGAAATTCAGGCCAGCAGGTGACAAGGGGCACCAGCAAAAAGAACGCACTAGAAGTCCAAGTGTCAAAACTTGGCCACGGGTTCCCCAGGCAGAAGGTGTGAGCTGGGACTTGCTGGCATCTGCCTGGGCTGGTCCTCACCCGTTTCTTCCAGGCGGCAGGGCATTTTTTCCTCTGGAGTCCCGCCACAAGCTGGCAGTAGGGGGCGCTGCGGTCAAGCAGGGAAAGGGGCTGGGTGGCTCAAGGATCTGAGTGCCGGCGAACTCCACCCTCTCTCACAGCTCAAACTCCTCTGCCTCAAACTTGCGAGCGAAGCCCGTTCTGTCCGGCAGCTGTGGGGTGCTCAGCAGCGCATCCCAGCCTGCACTGACCAGCTTTTGAGGAGCACCCAAGGAGAGTGGCAACAGGTCGGGCTGTGTTCATGCCTTCCCATCTGGTCCCTTGTGCCCAAATGCAACTCTCCCCATCACTGAGACCCACACTCCGCGCTTAGCACCTCTCCCACCTGTTCCATCTCCCAGGCCCCAGGGGTTTTACCCCCACCCCCACCCCTGGGGATTTCTCACCCCGTTTGCCACTGCTGCCATGCCCACCCAGAATGCTCTGGAGTTCCCCGGGGAAGCTGATGTCCGGTCCCCGAGTCTGCTGTCCCTGGAGGCTGTAGCCGCTGCAGGTAAGCAGGCAATTGTCTCTGACCCCAGGCTGCTGAGATGGCTGCCAGGGCTGCGGAGGAGGAGGCCAGGCGGAGGGGGCACCTGGCAGGCGAGTATGCGGCAAGCCTTCGTCGCCAACTGAAGCTCCTTCGCCAGGACCTCCGTGCAAGGCAGGAGCAGTGGGGTTCCTTCTGCTCAGCACTGAGGACGGCTCAGCGGCTGCTGAAGGCACAGACAGGCTCTAGATTGGCAAAGTCCTCCCAGGCTAGGCAGAACTCAGCAGGGTGTGTACCTGGTGAATATGAGTGTGGCTTCGTGAGAGCTGGTCTAGGGAAGGAACAAGTGTGGCTTTGTGGGGACTTGGAACTGGCCAGAACAAAGTGTCCTTTTCCCACCCCTAATTGCCTCTCCCACTGATGGGTCCTCCCCCATGCCCTTGCAGGGATGTCCCCCAGCTGGATGCTGTGCTGGGCCACCTGTCCCAGGCCCTGCTGCATGAGGGTCACCGCCTGAAGGCCTGGGGTGTCCTGGGCACCGGCACTGGGGCGGAGCTGCTGCGACCAGGTGAGCTGAGCCTCAGCCAAGGCCCCCCAGGAAGGCTGGCCCTGCATTCAAGGCAACAGGCCCTGCAGAAACTCAAATCTCACCCTTAAGAAACCCTGCAGGGGAGGAAGGGAGGAGGAGGGGTAAAGACAGTGGAAACCCCCAAGGTTGGGAGGGGCTTCCTGTACCATACCCTGGGCAAACGTCTGTGTTACAGAAGAGGGAGCCTCGGAAATGGGAAGAACAGAGGAGGAAACAAACAAAACCACCACAGATTAGAGCTTTACATGTAACGTAGCACTTCCTGAGAGCAAGAGCCTGGCCGATGAATGCACGGGGCCAGGTCTGGAAAAGGCTGGACTTGTCTGAAAGGAAGAGTGGGAGAAGGATCCCTCAGGGACCCCGTAGGCATGCTGAGTTCTAGGAGTCCCCCGACCCCATCTGGTCACCCCACAGGCTGTCACCACCATTTCCCAAGGTGCTTCCAGTCGCTTCCTGTCTGCAATATGATGATATCACAGTGTCATGCCCAGGATGTGGAGTCCCAACCTGGACTCAGCAAGAGACAAGATCCCCTGCCCTCGGGGAGCACCTGCTACACCTTGGTGCTGGGGTGTGGTTGGGGTGGGGTTCTCACCAACTTCTAGTCACCAGTGAAGGAAACACCTAGTCGCTCTGTTGGCTTCAGACCCAGGGCTGAGCTGGCCTTCACTTTCCTGCAGCCTCGGCAGGCCCTCAAGGGGGCACCGATGACATCAGTGTGAATCCTGTCACCAAGTTGATGGTCCCTGGCCCCAAATGCATGATGCTTCCAGCCAGTGGCCACGCAGGGTCCATCCCCCCTGGCTACTTCATCCACCCTGACACTGGGCGGGTGCTGCCCGAGGCTGGAAATCTGGGATATGATCTGCAGGAAGCTACTCTGGTGCCCACCACGGACTCCAGTTCTGGTGAGCCCCTGACCACTAAGTAGCCCCAACCCAGCCCAGGGCCCTCTTGAATGAATTCATAGGGGCACAGCACAGCAAGCAGGGCACTTGGACAGTGGGGCTTGGTGACCAGCAGACCAGTAACCACCTTCTCCTCCTTCCTCAAAAACATTCTTGCTGCAGAGGGTACCATGTTGAAGAGAGGTGCCAGATGAAAGAAAGCAGGTGCCCAAGGCTTCTCTCTGCCCCTGCTCTGCAAGGCTAGGGAGGGAGGCTGGCATGTCAAGGGTACCAACGTCTCCTTGTCTCCTTGTCCAGGTGGCCTCCGAACATCAGAAGCTGCCATCCTCCCCTATGTGCCCTTCCCAACCTGTCCTGCCACAGGCTCCCCTCCAGCCACCCGCCTGCCTGTCCTGCAGCCAAGAAGGACATCTCATCTGGGGGCTCTCATGACAGACCCCATAACTGGCATCGAGGTGCCCGTGCTGGCTGTGACTCTGCACCCCCAAACGAGGCAGTGGCTCACTCTTGGGGGGACATACTGCAATCCCCTCACCAAGACCTTGGCCCCTCTAGAGTTGGGGGGCCCCATGGAGGATCCAGTCACAGGAGGCATATCACCAATCCTGGGAGTTGGATTGGATGAAAACACAGGTCTCCTGGCAGCCCTCAATGCTGTCCTTCCACCCTCTCGTCCCTGCCTGGCCTGGCTTCCCAATCCCCTCCTCTCAGCCCCCAAGGCCCTCTGTGTTCTGGTCCACCCCAGCTCCATCTTCCCACCCTTCATCCTCACTCTGCCTCTCACTCCCACCTTCCCTCTCCTTCCTAGCTTCCTTCACCCCTTCCCCATCTCCAGCACAGTGCACCCAGGGAGGAAAAAGAGAACTGAGCTGGTTCTGCAGTAAAAGTAAATGGATGTTTTTCTTTTTCTTTTTTTTTGGCTGGGAAAGATGCACCCTGAGCTAATGTCTATTGCCAATCTTCCTCTCTTTTTTCTCTTTTTCCTCCTCAAAGTACCAGTACATAGTTGTATATTCTAGTTGTAAATCCTTCTAGTCCTTTTGTGTGAGCCACGGCCACAGCATGGCTACTGACAGATGAGTGGTGTGGTTCTTCTCCGGGGAACCGAACCTGGGCCACCAAAGCAGAGCGTGCTGAACTTTAACCACTAGACCATCAGGGCTGGCTATAAATGGATCTTTCTCAACCAAGAAGGGGCATTCCTCCTTCTGCCACCACCACGTGCTATCCGTCTGCCCTCTCCCTCACCTCTTACCCTCCCCATTCCCACAGCTTCTGATCTCCCACCTTGTCACTCTCTCTGCCCTCTGGTCCTACTTCTCCCTCATGCCTCATCTGCCTGCATCTCTGCCCCATCCCCTTCCCACCTCACTCTCTTGGGTTCCTGCTTCCAGGTCAGGTGCTTGCCCTGGGGGGCCTGCGAGATGCCTCGGGGAACCTCATGCTGCCTGGTGACAGCTTTGTGGAGCCGCTGAGCAGGAAGATGGTCCAGCTCCAGGGGGCTGCCCAACAGGAGGGCCGGACATTGCCCCACATGGGAGGGCCACAGGCCCTGCTGGATGCCAATGTGCTGGTGGCCCAGAGGCAAGTGATTACAGTGCTCCAGAGGTACCAGGAGAGGCCAGGCTCCAGGATCCAGGGGCCTCTGGAGGCTGCCATCAAGGACATGAGACAGGCACTGGCCTTGAGTCTACACCATGTCCTACAACAGGCTCGGAGACTGGAGAGACAGCTGGAGGCAGCAGATGGCATCGAGGCCAGCGGCGGCAGGATAGGTATGCACTGATCCAGGAAAAAGCTCTCAGATCCTGAAATCCCAGGCCCAGAATGACCTGGTGCTTCGGTGCTCGTCAGCCTATAAGCTCAGGGACAGGCCTGCAGCCCCCTGGCCGTGCACACAGTGACCAAGGGAAGAGAGAAGGAATTCAGTGACTTCATGCCCCGACCTCCTGAATGCTTGGCTTTTAACCTCTGTCTTTCAATCTCTTGCCAATTCCATTGGGTCTTATACTTTATGTTTATAAAGTGTATATTCTCTTGTTATTTCATAGGAATCCCCAAATATAGTAACATATTATGACACCCATTTGACACTAGAGAATGTGAATTCAGGGAGTTAAGTGATTGCCCGTCCAGGGTCCTATCGCTGGTTAGCTGCACAGCCAGGCCTGAAGCCTGAGTCTCCTGAGTCCTCAGCTCTCTTCTCACTTTTGTTCCTGCAACAGCCTTCAACTTTCCATTAATAAGCTCAGGAAAGGAGCCCACCCAACTCCTCTGCCTCCCCCACGGCACTAATACAAGGAAGGGCAGGGAGAGGAAGTAAGAGCGGTATCTTCCTGGAGCTCATCTCAATCCCTCTTTCCAGAGGCTTCTGCCCATGAGGTGACAAAAAAGAATGAGGATTTGGGGTCAGAATTTGAGTTTGAAGAAGTGCCCCACCATTTATTAACTCTTTGACCTTGGGGAAGCTGTTAAACCTTGCTCTGCCTCTGCTTTAGCATCTTTAAAATGAGGATAAAAAGTGTACATACTTTAGAGACTTAGTTGTAGAACCAAATAAAATTTAATTTACAGAGAGTTCTTAGCTCAGCCTCTGGCACATGGGAGGTGCTCAAGAATATTTGTTCCCTTGTTTTCCACCTTTTCCGTGTGGCCTGGAAATGGTTCTCAGCTTCCTGAAAGTCCTGATGCAGCTCAATTCTTCCCTTCTGAATTCAAAATGCTAAGCTGGGCCCCAAAGGAAACGATGCAGTCTTTGTAGGGGAGCCTCTCTGGTCAGGGATGTGGCCCTTTGAGCCTGGAAAGACCCTTGGTGTGACACTTAACCCTCCACTCCTCCTCTCTCTGCCCCCTCCCTCTTGTGTTAGGGATGATGTGCTATCCTGGGACAGAGCTGTGGGTCCCGGCCCTGTATGGGATGGAGGTCCCAGACCCTGAGGGCTCAGGGCTCATAGTGCCCATCCTGGGCATGAAGAGTGATGGGAATTCTGGTGATGCCACACCCCTGGCAGGTTCAATGGAAGATGCTGATGGCAAAGGTAGGAGGGAGCTTGCGGCCTCTGAAAGCCCTCGGGAGATCAGGAATGTGACTTAGCCCTGGGGGAGAAAAGTCTGTAAAGTTCAAGAGGGGTACCCTCAGTCTGTTCACTCATGAGCCAAGGAATGGGATCATTCTGATGCTTCCGCTAGGGCTGCTGAGAACCAAAATAAAGGTGCTCAGAGATTCCAGAACCCCAGTACCACAGGTCATTTATCCCCCACTGAGAAAATTGGGTCCTTAAAAGACCAGCACTTCAGAAACTCAAGAAGCCCTCTACTCCAGCTCAGAGCCCTTCAAATGGTAGGAGGGGTTCTAAGGGTTCCTTTAGCTCCCTTCCAGCCATGTTTCCTTCTTCCCATGGCTACCCTTCTTTCTTTTTCCCATCTCTGCTTACTAAAGCTGGTGACGGGCTTGGCATCCCACAGGTCTTGTCCCAATCTCAATTGGGGCTCAAGCCATAGACCCGTTGACTGGGGAACCTGGTCCTGTCATTGGTGCTCAAATGGATCCCTCTGCCGGAGTGGTAGTGCCCATTGTCCAGGTGCTGGAGGCCTTACCTCGAGGAATGAGAGACCCTGATCTGGTATGTAGGAGGAGTTCATTCTATTCATTTCTTCGTTCACTCAGCAACTACATTTCGAGAACCTTCTATGTTCCAGGAACGGTGTTAAGTGTTGAGATGCAAAGACACCTAGACAGGGCTCCTATCCTCAGGGAACTGACTGTCTGTGGGTTCCAACCATGATTGTGGTTCACGAGGGTGTTAAGGGAGCCCAGGGGACAGCCATCTAAACCACACGGAGGAGAGTTCAAGGAAGGCCTCCCTGAAGAGGTAATACCTGGGCTGAAACCCAAAGAAAGAGTCAGAGAAAGGCCTAAGGGGCCAGCAAGCGTAAAGGTGGCAGGTGGAGACCACGAATGTTCCAGGATCATGAGGAAGGCATGAGGCAAAGGCAGCAGGTAAAGCCAATGAGGAAGGCAGGAAACAAATCATGAACAGCCCTCTGTGCTTGGCTAAGGCCGAGAAATGTGACTTCTCAGGAAAGTCATGGGGGCCCATTAAAGGATTCTAAATCGACACGTGATCTGATCAAATATGAATATTTTTAAGACTTTTAAATTTGGGAAATATGCAGCAATACAAAAGGAAGACAAATTATTCATAATCCTACTACATTTTTATAAGTATGCAAATGAAGAAGCTCCCTCCTTCCCATTCCTCTCACTCCATCCGCCATCAACACCCATCCTAGTGCTCCCATATCCAGACACTACTCACCTCTCCTCCAGTCTCTCCCACAAATGCAGCCACTATTAACAGGTTGGCACACCTCCTCCCAGACATTTTTGTGCTTATGTATGTGTATATATAATCAGCATTCTAGAAAGTTCCCTCTGGCAGCAGAGGATGGATGGGAGCAGGGCCAGACTGGAGCAGAAAGCCCTGTCAGAAGGTTATTGCAGTAATTCAGGCATTGGCAGATTTTCCCCAAAAAGACAATAATTTAGGGTCTGCCCATAAATTCTCAGCCGAGTTACAGTCTCAGAAACAAAGATGGATGTGTTATAAAAGATTCTCATTAGAAGCCAAGAAATGTAAATTCTAGCCCCAACTCAGTTTCACAGATGAGTAGGAAGGGGTAATATGAGAGGGTGAGAACAATTTCCCACTGCCGCGTGCTCATCTCCCCTGGCCTCCCAAGAGAGAAATGGGAGCAGGGAGACAGGTGACTCTGGAGAGTTCAAGTGTTAGAAGGAGAGAGAGAGGGACCGGGAGCTTGAAGAAGGTTTTACCATCTACAACCAAGTCAACTGCCTCACCAAGCTTAGTCACGGACACCCAGGGGTGGAAGAGGCCCATGTCTTGAGAAGCTTTGGGGATCTTCAATCAGACCACTTGGGGCTGTGAGGAGAAAAAGCATATGAGCCCTAAATAAGCTAAATGTTGTAGTTGGACACCCTGGAGAAGGAGCTGAGAGCCCGGGAGCAGTACTGGCGCCGCCAGGAGCAGGAAGAGGTGCGGCTAGCAGAACACCTGTGGGACCTGAGCCGGGAGCTCCTCTTCACTCCAGGCAAAGACCCCAGGCCGCAGGTGAGGTGCAGAGGCACCCCCTCACGGTTCCCACCCACCCGTCTGCCCAGACAGCACAGGTTTCTCTTGGAAGTGTGGAGGCCTTTTCTCCCTGTACCACAGGAACAGAATCTATCTCAGGGCAGATAAAGTCCCAAGATTCCCCAACTCCAGGCCCTAGATTTCAGCTACTCCTAAGTGTCGCAGCAGGATAGAGGGTGGGGAGGAGGAGACAACATGAGGTGGCCCAGCCCACAGCTCCTGCCTCCCCATTCATGGCCCTTTCTCTCGTGCTTCCTGTCCTGTGTAGCTGAGGGCTGCTGAGGAGGCCTGTGTGGCCCTGGAGTCCTGCTGCCTGCGAGAGACCGAGAGGAGAGCCAGAGCCCTGAACACGCAAAGCGGCCCAGGGCGAGGCCTGCTCTGTCAAGGTGGGAAAGCAGCCCCAGGGCCCAGACCTCCAGAGCAGAAATCTCCTGGGAGCGGTGCCACCACCCACAGCTTCCCAGTTGAAAATCCCTCCTGCTCTCTGCATGTGCTCATCTCCCAGGCTCCCAGCGAGACCCTGGCTCTACCCTGGCAGGTTCCCCTGGCTCCAATAAACTCCTGTGTCTTTGCTTCTATTCCCTACCCCCAGAGGTGGCTGCTGCCATGGGGCCCTTTTCTCTGCCCCTTGTAGGAGACAGAGAGGAGTGGGAACAGGAGGCACAGGTGGTGCTGGGCATGCGGAAGGTCCTGCAGAGTTTAAGACAGGCAGCAGAAAAGCTCAGGCAAGCAGCTGGCTGGCTGCAGGGCCAGGAGGAGGAGATATGGCTACAGCAGAGAAGGAATCAGAGCCCACAGATCTGGAACCGTCCCAGGAAGGTAAGGCTCAGAAGCTGACAAAGGGACTCACATAGGATGAGTACATCCTCCCATGTCATCACATGTGGCTCTTCAGGACAATGTAATGTTCAGGGATGGGTGGACCCAAGGAGCAGTGGATGGACTAGGAGGGGAGCAGGAGGAAAGAGAAAGACGCTGCATTTTAATTTGGACATCTTATTTCCTGTGTTCTAGGTGGTTCAGCATCTCTCTGATGAATTTCAGGCGGTGGTGAGAGAAAGACAGAGCTTCCTGGATAGGGCCCTTGCTCAGTTGCAATACCAACGGGATCTGAGCCGCCTCCAGCTCTTGCACACTCAGGTACTGACCTCTGGACTTGGTCAAGGAGAGCTGTACATCCAACTTTAATGGGGGCTTCAGAGAGAAGCTCGCAGAGCAGCCACGTGGGACATGTGGGAACCAAGCATGGAACTAGGTTCTGACTATTTCATCCTAGATGGTCGCCTCAGGAACCCCTGTGTGTTTGGAGAACTACCCTGGAGACATATTTTATGGGACAATCACAACTTCTCTCAGGGACTGGGCTGCGGCCTGCCCGCTGTTGATCCCCTTCCTGAAGAGCATCACGGCAGCGCTGGTGGGAGCTCAAGGCCGTGGCCCAGGATGGGAGGATCAGGGGCCGGGGACAGGTAAGGCTGGTCATGGGTCCAGTGTTCCCTTCTGCTGCCAATTCTGATCATGTTTTGATGAATTCTAATACTACAGTTAGGGCTTCAGGCACCATAAGAGTGTGGCCATGGTAGTCTCTATGGGAAGAAAATAAAGAAACCCAATGTATTGGTTATACATCACTATGTAACAAACTACCCCAAAATTTCCTGGGTTAAGACAACAAACATTTTTTTATGTCACAGTTTCTGTGGGTCAAGAATCTGGGTGCAGCTTAGCTGGGGCCCTCTGGCTAAGCATCTCACACATCAAGACGTCAGGCCAGGGCTGCAGTCACTGCAAGCTCTGACTGGGGAATCCAAGTTCACTCTTATGGCCCTTGGCAGATCTCAAGTCCTTGCTGGCTGTTGGCCAGAGAGATCAATTCATTGCCACATAGACTTCTTAGGACAGCTCACAACATGGCAGCTGGCTTCCTTCAGAGCAAGCGAGAGAAGGCAAAAAAAATGTAAGCCACGGTCTTTTTATATCCTGACCTCATCACTTGTGCCATATTCTATTCGTTAGAAGCAAATCATTAGATCCAACCTACACTCAAGGGTAGGGGATTACACAAGGTCTGGATACGCCTGGGGGAATCATCGGGGCCATCTTAGAGGCCACCTGTCACACCAATGCTATGTCTGGCTCTTTTGGACTTTGGCCACAGTCCTGTGCCCCTACTCCAACAACTATTTTCTTCCCCTCTGTTCAGACACAGATAAAGTTGACATCATGTGGACCTCACCACTCCTTCCCATCCTGAAGAACGTAGATATCTGGTCCCAAGCCTACAAGGAGGGAGCTGAACTGCAAGGACAAGTGCATCACAAACCAGGTAACCTCCTTTCCCTGGCAGCTTCTGTTTGGAATTATCATGGCACACTGAAGGTGGGATAACCTTGGGTTCAATGCTACAACCCCTAGGGACTAGGAATGTCAGAATCCTGCTTTGCCAATCATCATTTCTCTCTACCCTCATCCTAAGATTCCCAAGGGATTTTTCCATATAAGGAATAATAAATAGGAATCACAGTCCCACTGTAATAATAACTTGGCCAGTCCCCAAAAGGGAATTCCTAAAGGCCTTCTACCTCCCCACAAAACACTGAATCTAAATCTTGGGATTTTATCCCATACCAGCCAGCCACATGTTACAAAGAGTCAATGGAAAAGTGTGAGACACGGAGATAGACAGAGGAGACAAAGAGAAAGAAGATCTTGCCCCAAAAAGGGACTCCAGATCGCTTACGAATACCACCCTTGAAATTGAAGTCAGAAGAGAATGTGGCTGGCCTGCCCTGAAGAGTCAGGTCTGTTTCAACTATGCACCTCCCAAGTAGAAGAGGATTAACAGGAAATGAGTGTATCCCCTTCAGCTGACCCTGATGCAGGCTACTAGTAAGCACAGTTCCAAGAACATCTTTGAACTTGACCAGGGGTCAGAAAACTATGGCCCACAGGCCAACTCAAGACTGCTATCTTCTTTTGTATGGCCCATAAGCTAAGAATGGTTTTATATTTGTAAATAATTGAAAAAAAAAGTCAGAAGAATAACATTTCTATGGAGTGCTGTACAATAGGTCTTGTGCTATTCTAACTCTTTGGCTATTTTAGCTCATTTAATCTTTACAACGACCCAGTGAAGTAGATACTATTACTCATTTTATATAAGGAACCTGAAGCTTCTGAATAGGTCAAGTAAGTAGTCAAAAATGATATTGCTAAGGAGGGGTTCAGCTGGAATTCAATCCCAGGGAGTCTTACCCCAGGGCCTAACCTAACCTGCTTCCCCAGATGAAAAATTATCCAACACTAGGAAGGCAATGCCAAAAGGGAGATGCAGGCAACATATTCTGGTGAGTTCCCAGGATGGCAGATCACCGTGTATCACAGAAGCAAAGGAAGGCTTTGTAGGAGAATGAGGTCTTCTACCATGATGACAGGGAACACTAAATTTGAACTCCAATTTTGCCTCTTGGCTGGCAAAGCCTAAAATATTTACTTTCTGCCCCTTTACAGAAGAAGTTTGCTGACCCCAGAACTTGACCAATCTTAGTATTAATTCCACTTCTCTTTGGAGGAAACTAAGAAGAGTATGGGCAGAGAAGTGGGCCCTCCTTTGAGGGGTCCCACCATTACGTCAACCTTCGTTGTGTGATAGTTATATTGACTTTATAATGTTGAAAGCAATTTTATATACATTGTCTTGTTTATGCTTGGAAACCAAACTCTAATTCTGTAAGATAGTGGAAGATTATGAACTTATTTTTGTTATAGATGAGAGAACTGATGCTTGAAGAAGTTAAGTGACTTTCCCAGGGTCTTACAGAACCTGGACCAGAATTCAGGTCTTCTGTTAGTTCAGCATTCTTTCCTCTGCCATGCTGCACGAGCCTTTTTTCATTGTCCTCTCAAGAATAAAAAAACAATAGAGGGGCTGGCCGCGTGGCCGAGTGGTTAAGTTCGTGCGCTCCGCTGCAGGCGGCCCAGTGTTTTGTTGGTTCGATTCCTGGGTGTGGACATGGCACTGCTCATCAAACCACGTTGAGGCAGCGTCCCACATGCCACAACTAGAAGGACCCACAACGAAGAATATACAACTGTGTACCAGGGGGCTTTGGGGAGGAAAAAGGGAAAAAAAAAATAGAATCTTTAAAAAGAAAAAAAAATGGAAAATGGTTAAAGACCCAAAGCCCATTAGAGACAATTTTGTAGGGAACTAAGATTGTTAATACAGCTTACATTTACTGAGTACTTACTGTGCACCATACACTGTTCTGAGTACATTACGTTTAATGCTCCAAACAATGCTATGAAACAGTAGAAGAAAATCTGTTGCCATCTTTTCTGGACCCTCATTCTGTTGTTCTTTCTCCTCTGTTCCTATTGACTGAAACTCAGTGGCTCTTCCATGAAGATGGGCAAGAGAGCCTGAAACACAGTGCATACATAGCACAGGAGGGATGGAAGGATGGATGGATGGATGGATGGATGGATGCAAATACACCTTTTCCTAAGCTGAACTGTATTATTGTTGTTGTTACTGTTTTTATCAATATATCATTACTGTACAGAAAAGTCAGTGAAATTGTTACTGGTTTCTCTTGATCCCTGTAGCCCCAAAAAGCCCTTTGCAGGATTTTCCAAAACCTCAGATAATGCAGAAGGAAGAGCTGATAACTGTGCAATCCACAGACCTTTCTGCCAGGGAGTTTGTGGTTTACCAGTATGGCCTCTCCATCCTGCACCTCCTCATCCCCCAGCTTCATGTAAGTCTGGTTTCCGGCCCCTCTGTGAAGCAGTCATCTGTGGAGCCATGAAGCCAGGGTGACTAGGAAGGAGGCTTTGAGGTAGTAGATATTCCTTAGGATTAAACACCTGCAACAGGGAACTTTCTAGTCTCTCCTTTAAGGGGACTGATAGGAATCATTTTACCAATCTAAAGTCTAATCTCTCAAATGATAGTAATAGTAATAGAATGAATTAAGCACTTTGTACATGCCAGAAAATGTTCTAATAATTTGCATGAGTTATTTCATTTCATCTTCAAAAAAACCCATGACATCAATATTATAATTTTTTTTTCTCATTTTGAAATTGAGGAGGAAAAATATAGAGTGGTCGAGTAAACTTACCCAAGATCACCCAACCAAAAGGCTAGCACGAGCGTAGACTCCAGGAGTCACAGTTTGAGAGTCCTCAGGCCTGACTGCCAGTCTAGTCTACCTCTACTTAGAAGTAAATTAATTCTTAGCATAAATATCAAACACATACTCTTCCCACTGTCGTGTGGTGTATACTGAATCTACTTATCCTATTAGCATTTTAAATTGATGTTCCAGTGCTTTTACTTCTCTTTAATTTGGTTGGTGCTATGCAGCTGAGTTGCATGAGAATTTTTTAGCAAAATGATGGGTTTGGGTTTTGGTTTTTGGTTGGTTTTGTTTTTGTTTTTGTTTTTTGCTGAGGAAGATTAGCCCTGAGCTAAAATCTGTACCAATCTTCCTCTATTTTGTACATAGGATGCCACCACAGCATGGCTGACAAGTGGTGTAGGTCCGCGCCCAAGATCCAAACCCATGAACCCAGGCCACTGAAGCAGAGGGCACCAAACTTAACCACTACACCACAGGGCTGGCCCCTGGTTTTGTTTTTATTTGTTTTTTATTCTTTTCAGGCTCCAGAAATCACCCTGAAGATTGCTTCTCATCTTCCTGCCATGGAACCCTCCGACAATGCCTTCCAAGGTTCCTTCTTCTATCAGGTGCTGCAAATCCAGTCCCAGAGATGGGTTGTAGAATTCTAGAGTCTAGTAAAGATAGATGCAAACACAACAATGTTATAAAACATTTTCTCTCTCAAGTCCTGATATATTTTATTCTCCCTTGGTAATAAGTCATTTAGCTAAGGCATAATAAATGTCACCATGTAAGAGCTTTCTCTAATTAGTGAAATGAATATGTCCTGGCGTGTGCCCAGAGAATCATAATGGCTTTGTGCCCATTAATGAATCTCTGTCACTATCAAGCTGGTGGTTCCAGACTGGTGTTTCCCGTAAGAGTCACCATTCCAGCTTCAGGAAATCCTGTACAATCAGCATCTTTCTACAGAAAGGGATCTAAATTGTTCCTGCCCGGGTAGTTCCTCAAATATAGAGGTTGGCAGTGCCTCAGTGGAACTCTAAGCCGGTGTATGTAGACCTTAAACTCTAATGACAGTACATTGGTAAACAATGATTGTGAAAGGAGGAACTGCTAATCATCGTTAGAGGACTGGGAAATGGGTTATACCAGACTACTAAATTGTTAGGGGATTTAATAAGACCAAAAATTACTAAAAAATGCTACCCTCCAGGCATTATTTCACTTGATCCTCAAAGCAGCCTGTGTAGTAGGCAAGAATTTAATCCCATTTTTCTGAAGGGGAAACAAACTCAGGATTCATTGAATACTGTGTGTCAGGCACTTAGCCATATGCCTTACATGCATCATCTCATTTACAACTTACAACAACCCAACCCTACGGGGGCGGGGGGGTGGTACTCTTGTTATCTCTATTTTATGAATTAGGAAATTCAGGTCCAGAGAGGCCAAGTAACTAGCCCAAGACCACAGTGTTAGCAAGAGTTGAAACTCAAGTCCAGGTATATTTGAACACCAGACTCATTTTTTAACCACTAGTCTGTGCTGCCACCCACAGCTCATTCCAGGGATGGATCTCAGATTCCAATTCCAAATCACCTAAGGCTTTTCCATGCCAACCTTTTGCCTCTTAAGAAAATGAACAACGGAGTTATTTCAGATCAATTAGGCAAGACAGGAGATTGAGAACTTGATTGCAATAAAGGCATGACAGACAGAGAAAGCCTGAGAGCCCTCTAAGGCAATGATTCTCAAACTGTGCTCCTTGGGCCTCGTGCATCAGCCACCTGGGGAGCTTGGTAAAAATGGAAGTGCCCACCCAAAGCCCACAGAACGAGAAATTCTGGGATGGACCCCAAGAATAGACTCACTCCCGTGTGATTCATAGTCACACTAAAGTTTGAGAACTGCTGCTTAAGGAAACAATGATTGGAGGACATTGATAAAAGACAGAGGTACATGAGAAATTTTGCTCTCAATTTCCCACCCTTTGTTTTCTGTAAGATGAGGGTAGCAGAAAAATTGAGACACAGTGGAGAAAAAGATTTATTCACAGAGTTGAAATGAAACAAGAGTTTTCCCTTTGTCGTCTGAAATCTTCCCTTCAGTAAATTTCCATTAAGCCCAGGGAGTCTCTGACTTTATGATTCCAAAAGTTATTTTAGACCATATAAAACTAGAAAAAGAAGGAGGTAGCAGAAATGCTCCCTGAGGCTGACATCTCTGTGTTTGGGTATCTTCTCCACTTAGAGTGCTGAAAGCACACTGTTTGTTGGGAGAGAGTGTCTGGCATCCGTGGGAAGCTTTGTTCTGCTCTTGATCCACTGCCTGGCCCACATCGCTGCCGAGGACCTCCAGCAGGACTCCAGCCCCGCCTTTCTGAGGTCATTTTACAAGGTATTTATAACACACACAGGGCTTTTTCTTCTCTTTCTCTGTGACTCAGACTCTATTATCCAATAAACGCTTTAAGCTTTGTAACATTTCAAATCTACTTAAGTCCTCTTGGTGGCCTTTGGTTTCTACTGCTAGGCCAGGAAGAAGATTTTCCTGATCAAATTTCCTATGGCGGCATCTAACAAAATGCATGCGTTCTGTGAGAATGCTGGAGAGAAGTGGTCTTCCTATGAGCACAGTATCACAGCTTTCTCTGGATATTTCCTTGTCAACACATAAACCACCACAATTGCTAAAGCAATGATAACCCATATTGAGGACAAGTAAAGATGATAAATCTCAAGTCCCATTTTTCTTTCAACTATTATTTTAAAGCTTTAATAGCACTTGTGTAGAACAGTACTGATCTGCCCCCTCACCTTTTCCATGACCAGGGGTTGGAAGCCTATTTCAGAGAAGCATTCTCTATCACACTGCGAATGTCCGCAGTTTCCCGGGACAGTAAGCTGGACCAAAGCGTAAGCGCTCTTCTGCTAGAAGAGCAGCCCATCTCTGACAGAGGAAGAGATCTCCTCTCTAAACTCATTGAAATGAAGTGTGAGTCTCACTTGGAGCCAGAGTCATCAGAAGAGGTACCTAACTTTATCTTGTGTAGCACATGGCCTTCAGTAAAACTTTCTTCTTCACAGAGTAAATGCCTCAGTGCATGACCTATTCAGACATTTCTGGCCTCCCTAGGTGGTACACTGCCTTGACACTCAGCCTGCTTCTCAAACCACATATGACAATATTTTTTAAATCCTATATTCTACAAGGCACATAGTGGGTACCTGGCTCTCTGAGTTAAGAGAATTGCAAATGTGACTCCATAGTTACTTAACTTATATCACATAATATATTGTCCATAAGTAAGCAGAATTCCATCTATAAAACTCAGAGACTAAATTTAGATGCCCATGTGGTAGCCTATTTACCCAAACTTACAGTATGCTTTCTGTGCCAGCTTGACGATGGTATTCTTAATATTGTTATTTAAAGCACTTCTGTGAGAATATTATCAACCAGCTTTTTAACTATTACAAATATAAAATTTAAATATATGATCCTCCATTAAAGGTCAATTCATTCCTGAAATATAAACAAGAACATATCTTTTTTCATTATTTATATAAAACTTTCCAAGTTGCAAGGCACTTTTATATATATTGTCTCATTTGATCTACCCAGCAATCCTGCAAAATAGGGAAAATACATATTTTGTCATATTTTGCATTTAAGGAGAAATTAAGCAGTTTGCTCGAAATCAAGAAGCTGTTTATAGTGGTAGAGCTGAGACTCGATTCTAGATCTCCTGACTCCTAAGTAAATGTTCCATATACATCTCCCTGTAATCAAATCTCCATTAGCTACTGAGTCACAGATTTATTTTGTGGTTGATGTTGATGGTGATGTTGGTCATCCAGATCACAGAATTCTGTTACACCTACCTCCCGCAAATCACAGAGATGGTCAGTTCTCTGTCCTCATCCAACAGCAGCATTTACACATCTGATCCTTTTCTCCTCCTTGATATATTTTCTTCACTTGGCTCCCAGGACACCAAGCTCCTCTGGTTTTCCTCCTACCTCTCTGGCTGTTCCTTCTCAGTCTCCTTTGCTGATCCCTCCTCTTCTCCGTGGCCTCTTAATGTTGGAGGGCCAGGATTCGGCCCTGTCCTCTTCTCTTCTTTGTCTATATTTGTTCCTCTTGGGGATCTCATCCAGTCATCCAACTTTAAATCCCATCTATATGTCAATGACTCCCAAATTTTTATCTCCAGCCCCAACCCAACTCTCTAACTCAACTCATATATCCAACTGCTTACTAGCCATCTCCACTTGGATGTCTAATAAGTATCTCAAACTTCAACATGCCTAAAACCGATCTTTCCAAACATGCTCCACTTGAAACTTTCCCCGTCTCAGTTAATGGCAACTCCATTCTTCCAGTTTTTCAGGCCAAAGTCTTCCTTGAAACCTCTCTCTCCGTTACATACACCCCACAACCAATCCATCAGTAAATCCTGTTGCTCTACCATCACAGCATGTCCATAATCTGACCACTTCTCATCACCTACATGCTACCAGCCTCGTGCAAGCCACCATCCTCTCCCACCTGGATTACTATACTCACTAACCAGTCTCTCTGAGTCCAACCTTGCCTCTCTTCAGTCTATTCTCAGCACAGTAGTCAAAGTGATCCTTTTAAAATGAAAATTGGGTCTGCTCAAAATCCTGCTGGGCCTCCCCATTTCACTTAGAGTAAAAGCCAAAGAAGCCAAGTCTCCCTTGTCTCCCACCCCCTCACCCACTATTCTCCCCCTCATTCACTCAACTCCAACCACACCTTCCTCCTTGCTGTTCTCCAGACACACCAGGTAGACTCCCCTCTTGAGGGTTCCGTCTGCCTGCAATGCTCCTTCCTCTGAGTCGGTGGTTCTCAACCAGGAGCAATTTTATCTCCCAAGGGACATTTGGCAATGTCGGGGATGTTTTTGATTGTCCTACTCAGAGGAGGGGGGTGCTACTGTTAACTAGAGGGTAGAGGCCAGGGATGCTACTAAACATACTACAATGCATAGGACAGCTCCCACAACAAAAATTATCCATCCCCAAATGCCAATAGCGCTGAAGTTGAGAAACCCTGGTCTAAGGAGTTAGAGCATGCCTGACTCCCCTACCTCCTCAGGCCTTTGTTCAAGTATCACCTTCTCAATGAGGCCTACCCTGACTTGCCTGTCTTAATTTGCAACCCTCTTTTTTTTTTTTTTTTTTTTAATTTTTTTTTCGGATGTACATCATATTTCAAATTCTGGATACATTACATCATGTTCACCACCGGAACACTAATTATAGTGCATCCCCTCACATGTGACCCTAATCACCCCTTTTGCCCTCCTCCCTCCCCCAATGGCAACCCTCTTTACCCATGTTCATCAACTTTTTCTTTCTCTGCTCTACTTTTTCCTATACCACTTCCTAAGACCTACACTGCATAATTTACTTACTTTTCTTCTCTGCTAGAATGTAAGTTCCATGAGGGCAGAGATGTCGGTTTTGTTTCTTGTTGCAGCCCATGTGCCAGGCTCAGAGGAGGCTTTCAATATATTTACTGTGTTAATGAACAGGTTTATCTGGACCCTGATGCTATAGACTGAAACATTCCAATCTACCAGAGCTAATTATTAGGTAGACAATAGCAAACATTGATTACACACTTGCCACGTGCCAGATGTTCTGCTGAGAGTTTTACATGCATTATCTCATTTTATCTTCCCCATGCTCTTTATTCCTAACTTAAAGATAAAAAAAAAAAAAATTGAGGCTTAAAAGCGTTAAAAAGAACTTTCCCAAGACAGAGATGGAGGTAGAATGTTAGTCCAACCACCATCTAAGAAGAGGTGTCATTTTACTTTAAAAGTAGAATTGTATGTAATACTCTCAGGTCCACATTCTGGCTGAGAATATCCAAGAGTACTTCACAGAAATGGGAGCAAAGATAAAACGTCTGTCCTCCACACTCTCTACAGTATATTAAGAAAAACAAAGATCTTCTCCTCTTCACCCATATGGAACATTTCCTGAAGAGCATCCTCACTGCAGAGCAACAAATCCCAAGAAAGCCAAGAGATCAATTTGGGGGTGAAGACACGGTGAGATGCCCTTATGATCTATAGCATTAAGATTGTACTTTGCTGTACACCTTGAAACTTTTTATCGTGTATTGAACATGTCAGCAGAACAAAGGATTGGAAATCAATGGTGATATGAATAAATTACATCATCAGTCACTTTATTTAAGAGCTTTCCCAGTAGCAACAGATGGTGGATCTTAGATCTCAGAGTTAGAAAGAACCCAAGAGATCATAGAGTTCATCCTTCTGCCTTCAGGCTGGTAAAGTCTTGATCCTAGAGAGCTGGAACTGAGACTCAGACTTGCCCCAGTTCACCCAGCTAGGAGAGGACAAAAAATAACTAGAACTTGGGTCCACTACCTTCACAGGGTTTCTTCCACTCTACCACAGTGATACCTACTGCTGTTTTATAAAAGGTTGTTTTAATCATAAGCATTTAAAATGTTGTATCTTTTAAAAACTAATAAATATTTTGGTTCCACATGACCAACACTCATATTTTGTAAGGTTTACGAACAATTGGCAAAGAGAAAACCTCCAAACATCTTCATTTTTCCCATGCAGAGTGGTGACCTAATGTGTCGAGATCAAGATCAGAAACTAGCAACCTGGAGAAATAACTGAACACTGACGCCAGCCCTGGGCCCCAGTCCACTTTATTTAAAGTTATCACCAATGTCTGGGGTGAAAACCACTTTTAAGACTGTATTAAAATATAATATAGCTTTTAAAAGCGTGCACGTCATAAATGTACACCTCATGAATTGTCAAAGTGAACATTCCCATATAACCAGCATCCAGATCAAGAAATGGAACGTTACCAGCTTCCCAGAAGCAGCCCACGTCCCCTCCTTCCAGTCACCTGTCCCGAGAGTAACCACCACCCTGACTTCAAACATCACAAATTGTTTTTGCTCATTTATGAACTTTACATAAATAGAATCATAAAATATGAATTACTTTATCCCTTCTTTTGCTCAACGTCACACTTGTGAGGTTTATTCATATTGTTGTATATTGTTGTAGTTTGTTGATTCTCTTTGCTGTAAAACATTCCACTGTGCAGATGTATCACAATTTATTTATTCTTTCTACTACTATGTGCATGTGGGTATTTTCCAGTTTGGGGTTATTACAAACAGTCTTGCTTACCTTCTGGTGACATTTTCTACTTAGTCAGGTATTACTCAGGACTACAAATTCTGGGTCTTAGAGGATGGATATGTCCTACTTCAGTAGATACTACCAACCAGACTTCCAAATGATTGTATAAATACATACTGCCCCCAGCAGTGGATAAGAGTTCTACTCGCTCTCCATCTTTATCAGCACTTAGTATTTTCCATCTTTTTTTATTTTATCCGTTCTTCTGGGTGTGTGGTTTTAATTTGCACTTCCCCGATGGCCAGTGAAACTGAGCATCTTCATATATTTATACACCATTTGAATTCTCTCTCTCTTGAGATGTACCTAGTCAAGTGTTTTGTCCATTTTCCATTGGATTGCCTATTTAATTGATTTGTAGCAACTCTTTATTCTGCAACTATTTTTCATCATTCCGTGGATTGCCTTTTTATAAAACTAACTATATATAATGTTTCTTTTTCTGTTTTGTTTTTAGATCTAGAAAGAGAAAGGTGATCTCATTTCAGTCTGCATGATTAAAAGGCGTTAAATATATCAATACATCTGATGAAGCTGATAAGAGAATTTTTTTAAATACCTATACCATTCATGTATAAATCACATAATGTATATTATAATCTTGCATAGATATATCATACCAGGGTCTAATATTTGGCAAAGATAAATAACATGCTGACATTTTCACTGTGACTAAAAGATCATTAGACCATATATCTTATTAAATATTCATTATTTAAAGATATTGACTGGACCTCTTTCTAGAAATGTAAAGTTTGTATATATTATCATTTATTAGGCTAACATCTAAAATTCTCTGTTACTGAGTCACAGAGGTATATTTGTACAATATTTGGTGATCTGGAATGAGAGTACATAAAATATAGGCCACATGGCACACACAAAATTCACTTTGTAGGCCTTGGTTGGAACACCTCAAAGAGATCAGCTGCCACATGAAACAATTTTCCTGGTGAATCTGAGTGCTGATCAGGAGAGACACAACCATCACATGAATTCGATGTAAGCCGAAGAAATTTTTTCAAATACAAACTCCAAATCAAAAGGCTGCTCATATTACAAATCCAATGCTAGCAATTTAAGCTGCTTCTCACATGGATAATTCTCTTTATTGTGCCCCAAGATGAGAAGTAGAAGGAATTTTTTTTATATACAAGGTTTATTGAGTCTCTCAAGCAATGGAAGACAGACAGGCTAGTAAAAAAAAAAACAACCTTTAAACAAACACACTATGTAGGTAGATAATGAATGATAACTAATTAGTGAATTCAGTATCCATCACATATTCAACACTTTTTAGTACTGAAGGTCTTTTGTCATAATTAAGAGGTGTCCATACATGGCTGAGGATTTAACTCTAAATCCAACCAAAATACTAATGGTAAATAACTTTAGGGAACATAAAATAAAAAACACTGTGAGACAACAAGACAAGAAGATTTACAATTAAGGTTTAACAAAGAGTTTTAAATCAGCCATAAAGAAGATCTGCTCAGAATCAACTTACTACATCGAACTCAACCATTTCTCCCATCTTACACTGACGTTGAGTTCTCATTTCTTTGCTGCTAGAGTTTAGTCACTTATCTTAAATATCATTCTATTTACATGATTAGATTAGCCATCAGGCAAAATAAGTACCAAATCTGTCAGCCTTAAAACTGTTTCATTAGTTACTATCTCAATTAAAATCACCTGCTGCCTTCATAGCACAGATACCAATAAACTGGTAGTTGCCCATAAGAATGGACTATGAGGCAGCTGTTCTCCTGTCCCTTCCGTGACCTGGGATCTCTTAAAGATAGCACACACCCCCAAATCAATGCATAGTAACTTCATAAAATTAAAGACTTCTCCATACTTTGAGAAGGTAAATCGTAGCTTGCTATGGTAAATATTGAGTGTGTCCTGAAGAACATTATTAAGCTATTCACATAAATTATGAAATGTATTTCCCAGAGAGCATAGTGAAGATTAATTAAACCAGACACACAAGACTATTTAGAATAGTTAAGCCAAGAGTCCAGGGCCTCTGAGAGAGATGGCAAAGAAAAAGTCATGCAGAAATTAAAGATCTTTCTTTTATATTCCTCATTCTTGGCTGAGCAAGGCATCTACCAAAACATGATATTAGCTTCCTGGCTGACTTCTTGGGCTCTTCATCTGATTCCATTAATATACTAACAGCTGCAAGCTTTTAATAAGCACATGCTTTTTAATGGAAATACCACAGATTACAAGCCAGGGATCATGTTCTCCTTCCTGCTGCATTATGTGTATTTATTGCTGAGTCAATAGCAAGCTTCTTTTTAAAAGTTTTAAGATTCTAGTCATCTTTAAGGAATTAGCTTGTGTGCACACACATGCACAGCCCACTGACCAGAAAAAGGATAAGAAAACCTCAATAGATATAGAAGCCATGTTACCAACTATTAACAAAAAGGACCTTCTCCCCAAAATATAATACTTAGTTGTTTCAAGAAAAATTTTTTTTATTTCAAAAGTAGTACACAGACTTCTGCTTCCAGGAAGATGGAGTAGGCATACTCTTCCCACTGAGTACAACTAAAACTCTTGGACATTATTTATAAAAAACAAACAAGAAGATTCTGGAAGGTGTAGAGAAGAAAATAGACCAGCTAGGGACCTCAGAATCCATAGCAGGATATGGTGGTGAACCCCACAGATTATCTTTTTCCCCTCATATATTACAGACTTGGAAATAAAGAAGCCAGCAACCCATAAACACCAATGGGCACAGACCAAAAAAGCTCCCAAAAAGCCTGCTGTCTCTAGCCAAAGGATTAAGAGAGGGACAGTGTAGCAAGATAGAAAACTTTTAAACAACAACTGCTTTACTCTAGCCAAACATCACAGAAAAGAAAAAACTGGCTTCATCCATGCCAGCAAAAGTTGAATGGGGAGTCTAAACTTCCACCCTTGCCAGGTTACCAACAAAGCACCCTAACCTCCTTCTGGCGCCATGTGAGAAGACGAGCAGAGAGCTGGCAATTTTCATCTTTTCATCCCCACAGGGCAGAAACAAAGCCCCCTCCTCATGGTGTTAGTGGAGACCACATGGTGAATCTGTACATCAACCAACATATGGCAGTAATGAGGCCCCTCACTACCACCTCCCTGCTCAAGTAGCATTAGTGGATGCCAAGTAGAGAGTCAGAACTTCTACCATTGCCCATCAGTAATGAGGCCACCCCAACCAAAGTATTAGTGGAAACCATATGGGAAGCTGGAACTTCCATACCTGCCCAGCAGATATGAGGAACCCCTTCCTTGGGTATCACTGGAGACCAACTGGGGAACCTGGACTTTTGTCTCCCACAAGGCAGTAACAAGGCAGCACCCTCCACTAGAATGGTATCAAAGGAAGTCAGCTAAAATAAAGTTTAAATAAGATGTCAAGTCTTATAACATCAAAACTGTACAGGTTTCAGTCAAAAATCATTTATCATATTAAGAACCAGAAAGATATAACACTGAGTAAAGACAATAAATACATGGCAACACCAAGACAAGATTTTAGAATTATATGACAATGAGTTTAAAGGAGACATCATAAAAATTCTTCAATAAGCAATTATGAACATGCTTCAAACAAATGAAAAAATAGAAAGTCTTGGCAAGGAACTATAAAGTCACAGCAAATAAAAGACAAACAAGAATCAAACTGAAATTTTAAAACTGAAACATACAAAAACCAAATTAAAAAGCTCACTGGATAGTCTCAACAGTAAAATGGAAGGGATGGGGGGAGGGGCGCGGAGAAAGCATTAGATGTTTAGATAGAACAAAAGAAATTACCCAATCTGAACAACAGAGAGAAAAAAGACTGAACAAATGAACATATAGTGCTTCAAGAACTTTGGTACTGTAACAAATGATCTAGCATTCAAGTCATCAATGTCTCAGAAGAAGAGAAAAAAAGGCAGGCTATAAAAGTACTCAAAGAAATAATGGCTGAAAATCCTCAAATTTGGAAAGAGACACAAACCTACAGATTCAAGGAGCTTAGTGAATTCCAAACAGGATAAATCCAAAGAAATCCACACCAAGACATATTATAATTAGACTTCTGAAAACTAAAAGCAGAGAAAAAGCAGCCAGAGAAAAACACCTTACATAGAAAGGAAATAAATTTGACAGATTTCTCATTAGAAACCAGAAAGAAGTGTCACATTTTTCTAGTACTGAAAGAACCATCAAACCAGAATTCTATATCCAGTGAAAATACTCTTCAAGAACAAAGAGAGAAGTCAATACATTCACAAATGAAGAAAAATTAAGAATATGTCACAAGCCAACCCACCCTAAAAGGAAAACTAAAGGAAATTCTCTGAAAGAAAGAAGCTTGGAAAATCAGGAAGAACATGGTAAGCAAAAATAAGGATAAATACACTAGACTTTCCTTCTCCTCTTCAGTTTTCTAAATTATGTTTGACAGTTGAACTTAAAATTACAACACTGTCTGATGTGACTCTAAATGTAGAGGAAATATTTAATACAATTATATTATATTATAAATGACAAAGAATTCAAGTTTCTATGCTTCACTTGAACTGATAAAATGACAATACTGGTAGACCACAAGTTATGTACATATGATGCAATATCTAAAGCAACCACTAAAAAAGCTATACAAAGAGATACACTGGAAAACACTATAGATAAGCCAAAATGGAATTATAAAAAAATGTTCAAGTAACCCACAGGAAGGCAAGGAAAAGAAAACAAATGAAAAACAGAATAAATTGAAAATTAAAGTGCAGACTTGAGACCTAACATATCTACAATTAAAATAAATGCAAATAGCCCAAATACACCAATTAAAATACAAATTGGTAGAAAATATGACAAGTATATGCTGTCTACAAGGAACTCATTTCAAATATAACAATATAGGCAGGTCGAAAGTAAAAGGATGGGAAAAGATATAGCACGCACACATTAATCAAAAGAAAGCAGAAGTGGCTGTATCAATATCAGATAAAGCAACATCAGGGCAAAGTAAATTACCAGAGACAGAGAGGGACATTATATAATGATTAGAAGGGTCAATCTACCAAGAAGACGTAGCAGTCCTAAATGTATATATACAAAACAACAGAGCTGCACAATATGTAAAACTAAACTGATAGAACTGAAAGGAGAGAGACAAATCACAATTATAGTTGGAGTCGTCACAAGATCCCCCTCTCAACAATTTATAGATCTAGACAGAAAAATCAGTATGTCTTCTTATTGTGTTTTCTTAATAAATTGTGTGTCAATTCTTACATCTGTACGTATATGTAGGATGACTGGAAAGATGGCCACCATTTAATGTTAATAATGGTAATTTCTGGCTGGGTAGTAGGGATTTTTTTCTTCTTGGGGGTGTGTTACTCTGTTAGCTTGAATTCTTTATAATGAGCATGTATCACTTTTATAAAATAAGTCATAATTAAGTCTGTTAAGAGGTTTAGAAATAAACCAAATTTTTAAAAAGATACACAAACAAGGGAGTTTTGCTCCTTAAAAAGTAATTTTAAAACAAGCCCTCACTGGTCTTGTAGAACCAGAATACTATACCATGAGGATCTCGCTTCCCTAAATGAAAGTCTACTTTTTCTTTTTTTAATGGCTAATGAAGAAACAAACTTTCAAAACTTTCTTACAACAAACTCAAATAGGAAGGTATTAAAAACACAATAAGTTTATTTAAACTGCTACTTTTCATAATTCATTGAATCTTATCACAGGTCAGTATCTTCATTCTATCATGTTATTGAGTACATTCACTAGTGTTACATAAAACTTCACATAAAATTAAATAAGAATTAAATTACAGCTAAGAACATAGTCATGATCTGTGTGAGAGGATTCACCATCATGCACTCTAGTCCCTAATGTGGTTATTTTTTTCAGTTTCATGGGCCTCTCAACCTTAGACTCATTTTCCTTTCAGAGAAAAGTAACACAGCTTCTCTGAGCTCTATCCTACCGAGTGCTCAGTCACTGCATTATCGGTGCGTGTTGACCCAGTGGTACCTGTCCACCCGGTGTATGGCAGCAGCCCTATGACCCTTAGGGTTCTTATGCAACACATGATAAGCATTTTCTAGGAGGCCCATACGGCCATCCACCATATTATTTTTGCGGGGGATTTGGAACCAAGATTGAAAGGGTCGTTTCAAATTCTCAACCTGGAAAAGAAAAAGGAGGGGGAGGAGTGGGTATGAAGATCTTCTGTAAACTGATAAGCCAACTCTAAGGACCAAATACAAACCTGTAACTCAGAAGCTAAGCTTTTCAAAAGCATAGGAAGTACAATGAATAGAAATCAAAGTAGATAATCATCTTTGGAAAATTGGCTAGCATTTTGGAAGGTATAAAGTAAGTCAAGTGACATCTTTTAACAAAATTAATTCTTTAATCCAACTAAATAATTTAAAAACACATTTATTCAAATTTATGTGTATTCTTGGGTTCTTCCCTACCCCACCACCACCTCACTGGCCCAACCCAAAACTCTCTCATCATGATCTCTAAGGCTGAGGTCTAGAAATAGCCATTTTAAACATCCCAGATGACCCATACAGATGCTTTACAGACCACACTCCCAAAGGACATTCCACTAAAAGAATATAGCTGACTATAGATCTGATCCCTAGATGGAAGATCTTTAAAGATAAAAATAGAATTAAGAGCAAATATTTCACTACGTAGTTTTAAACTTTTATACATATAGGACTATATATAAACTATATATATAGTTTAGAAAACTAAACGAGCTAGAGAAAAAATATTTGCCAATAATATGTCAAGGGGCTAAAATATTCCTAACTTTTGAAGAGCCTATAATAATACATTAAGACCTCAAGTGATAAATGGGTGAAGAAGAGAAAATCTGTAAGACAATAAGTACCCAAAATATTCTGGCACATGGAGAATATTTTTTAATATTTAATTAAGTTAATATCTATAATAGACAGCATTTTTAGGAAATTATTTTTAAATGAGAACATCCTATTTTAGGGAACATTATAAAACAGACACTTTCACATAGAGCTGATTAGACTACAAACAAAGACAGCTTTCTAGAAGGTATTCTGGCCATATATTGAGAACAATAAAATGACCATACCCAGTGACCCAGTAATTCCATGTCTGAGAATCAAGTCTCCAGAAATAACTTAAAACTCAGACATCTCTATAAAAACAATCAGCTTTTTTATATCACAACAATGTGGAAACAATTTAGATGACTACCGGTAACAGATTAGCTAAGAAAATTACAAGATGAACGAATATTTTTTAAAAAATTTTTTTAACTGCTCTGGTGGCAGGATTTCAGACCTTTGACCATTTCTAAATATTCCAAATTTTCCACGGGGAATGTTATTTTCTACTGGCAAAAAAGCCCACCAATTTTAATATTTAATTCTGAAGGAATTTAGGTGAAAGGAAACGTATGTATGTTCAAGTACTGTATGGAGAAACGGGACTACGAAAGATTGTGTACATACTAAGCACTCAGCCAAGCAGAAGGACTATATAAAGAAGAAAAAAACAGAAAAACTTCTTCTAGCATGTTAATATTGTCATTTTAACCTTTATAGTTTTGTTTTTTCCATGTTTTCCACTTGGTTCTCTGCTTTTACAGTGAGCATATTCTTTTTAGAATGAGAATAGAAAAAAGAAGTATAAAGAAGAACTGGAACACACTTTACCTGATAAATACTCTTTGGATTGTTGACTTTAGGAATTATCTGAGGTTCTTGGTTACAACCTTCTTCATCGGAGGAGCTGCCCGGGGAGGAGTCCAACGTGGCCCTACTAACAGCATAACTGATTTGTTGGGAGAGTTCCCGTTCCTCCCACCTGCCTTTAAAAGAAGCAATTGTAAATGGATGATTTTTCTCACCATACCTAAGTAGGAAAGGAAAGGAAAATATTCAGTAGGGATTCAACTTCTCGAAGTTTTGACCTCTAATCTTTTCTGGAGACAAGTCACTAATTTACAAAGAGTTACTTAAAAGAAACAGATTGAAATGGCTTGACAGCAAAGCTGAGAGGCATTATGACCTTCAGCTGCTACACTGTCATAATTAGTGGGGGTATTCTGTAAAAGCTATCTTGGTTAACAGCTCAGAAAAAGACAAGGACCAGTTTATTTTGTTTCAGCTAATGGACTCTGAAATGCCCGACGGTAAATAACTGTTCCCCCTAGATTTTGCCTATAACACTTAGACGTGATAATCTACGGTTGGCAGTTGGGTGCAGTGATTAAAGTCAAATTTCAAATACTATGTAAAATCTTTTTGCTTCCCACTCCATCCTCTCCTAATGGAAGTCTGTGTTGTCTAATAGATTCTAAAATCTTAGCCAACCACTGCCCTCACTGCTCACCCAGGGCTTTGGAGCATCATCTTTCACAAAGGTATACAGAGCTGACTAAATGACCTAAGGTTTCCAGGGGTCACAGAGCACACAGACTCTAACTCCAATGAAATTACTCACCTGCAACACACTTCAAAGGGATCTACCCATATGGTCATCTCCTTTGGGAGTCCCAGGTGAGAAAAATCCACATTGCTTTCAGCACAAGCCCTTTCCAGAATGGGATCTTTGTTTTGATTATTGTTTATCCTGATACATCTTAAAAAAATAATGAAAGGGAAACAAAGACGTGGTGACAGGTGCTTTCGTGGGAGAATCACGTTGTAGGCAAATAGTCCCGATACACACAGCTTCCACCTCACCCCACCCCCCAGCTTCCCCTAACCCCTTCCCCACCCTCCACAGTTTTACAAGATAAAACATAATTAACTTTTTACACCGCGAGTCAGAATGTGAGTTGCATTACTAAATCACACAATTAGTGCATCAAATGTTCACTGCATATCTTTCACGGTGAACATAAATTAGAATTGTTTAATCCACCTCACATAGGGGGTTTGTGCTATAATTTTCCACTGCACTGTCACCTGCTGCATCTCTTTCTTTCAAGCCCGCGTTCAAACAAATGATTTGAGCCCATAAAACTTTTGTGACTTATAGACCGCCAACAAAATCATTGCTGATGCTTGCGGCTTGCTTGTTGCTTCCCTTGTTGCTTGTTGCTGTACCACATCCTAGCTCTCACCTGAAGGCTTGCCCCTTAGAAGGGCAATCAGAGTGCCAGTGACTTCTGTATGTTTCAAACAAGATTGTGATCAGCTTTTCTGCAAAGTCTTCAATTTGCTGTTTACTCAGTCTGTCATGCTTTTTCACCAGTCTTGTGACAAAGAAAACTGTTGTTGCAATTTCATCCCTCATGATTCAAGAAAAACTTACAAGAAGTCTGCAGCCATTAAAAGGAAACAAGAAGAAATTAAAGAGAAATAAGGGTCTAACTTATTATCAACATGTAATTGCCATTTGGAAGTTTTTATACCATAAATTTAAAACAGAAATCATTTGCCAGTCTTTAACGAACTAAATAAGCCCATCAATACTATCAATAAAAACAGCCAAGAACACCAATTCCTCAACTAGCCAGCTTTAACGATTTTCAAAAAAAAAAATCTTTCTAAAACTTTAATACATTTAAGAAACAAATGAAACATCATTATGTAACTTAAATTTTAAAAAGTTCTGATATGGGGCAATAAACTATATAAGCACTACTTTTTAAAAACATATTTACAGAGAGCAAAAACATTTCAGGATACAATAGTTATAAAATGTGACTCAGGTTGCACACTTTAAGTAAAAGTTAAGGTTAATCAAACATATAATATACTTACCAGCAAAAGCTCTTCAGCCTCAACAAAAAGTGAGCCAGAATTAGAAGACACTCTGACCCACACCTGTTCTGTTAGTTTTAGGCTGAAGTTTATATAAGATGGGGCCCAAAAGCCTGAGAGGTACTTTACCTTACACAGGTGCTGTCTTTTAGGATAATCAGATAGCGTTTTCCAGGTCCCCATCAGGATGCTCCTTGGCATGTGTAGAGTGAGTTCTTTATTGAAAGTGGTTAAAGATTTTCACACTGGATTTGTATCTTCTATTTTGGTATTAAAGTCTTCTCTTTTATAACATAGATTGAGAATCAAGCCTTCTCCTTCCATATCCTAATATCCTACCTTCTGATAATTTCGTCTGTAATTGTAATTTGTCAACATATCAAAGAGTTGTGTCATGGATCTTTTATAAAACTTAAGACAACTTCCTTTGAACAATCATTACACTGACTACATCATTTTTTACTAAAATGTTTATTCGTAAAATAAGTGGAAGAAGAGGCCAGCCCCATCGCATAATGGTTAAGTTTGTGTGTTCCCCTTTGGCAGCCCAGGATTCAAGGGTTCAGATCCCAGGTGTAGACCTACACACTGCTCATCAAACCATGCTGTGGTGGTGTCCCACATACAAAACAGAGGAAGATTGGCATGGATGTTATCTCGCAGCCAATCTTCCTCACCAAAAAAAATAAGTGGAAGAGATCTCAGAGTTTATCTAATCTCACTTATTCTCAAAGTGTGGGTCACTGACCATCTCATTTGGACCCACTGGGCTGCTTGTTAAACATGCAGATTCTTGGACCTTATCCCAGATCTACTGAATCAATACTTCTAAAGGTGAGGCCTTGGAATCAGTGTTTAACAAGCCTTGGAATCAGTGTTTAACAAGTTCCCCCAGGTGACTCTTATACCCACTAAAATTTAAGAACCACCATGCCTGACATAAAAGTCTTTAAACCCACAGTAAGTGGTCATTCAGGGTCTTCATCGTGAAAAAGAATTCATTCCCTTAGCAGGAAGCCCATTTCATTTCTAAAAAGCTCCAGATATCAGGCAGTCCTTCCTCCCTATCAGGAGCCCAGTCCACCTCTTTGATTCTCTCTCTGTGCTGCCTAGTTTTTCGTCTAGAACTACAGAGGTTCTATCTAACCCTCCACCACATGAAGACACTTCAAATACGAGCGTTCAGCTTCCCCGGGTCTTCTCTTTTCGGGCTAACTATTCTCAGCTTTTTAACAGTTCTTCCTACAGACATGTTACTCAGATTACTCAGACACTTCTCTGAGCTCGGTGCTCACGTCTGGATGAGTTCCAGGCATGTCAGGAATCCCCTTTTAACGTGTGGAGCTCAGAATCACACACAGTGCTCCGGGTGTGCTCCCCCTTACAGAGTAGAGTGAGGCTGTCACCTCCCTTGCTCTGAATTACAGTCAATCACATATTAAAGCCTGCCTAGCCGTTGTTACAGGAAGGCTATACAGCAGAGCAGCTAAGAAATCAGCTAGAAAGTCAAGTGTCATGGGACTGAATCCCGGTCCCTAGCTTACTAGAAACTTGGGGAAGTTTCTCAACCTCTCTAATCTTCAAAATCTCAACTATAAAAGGGGGTAAGAAGAGCACCCAAGGCCTTGGAATCAGACTGCCAGATTTGAATCCTAGCTCAATTTACCACATGACATTAGCAAGTTATTTAACTTCTCTGTGCCTCAACTCCCTCATCTATATAAAAGAAACAACAGTACCCACTTTGTAGGGTTGTTATCAGAATTAAGTGTAAAATGTCTAGAACAGCACCTGATACTCAGTAAATGCTCCATAAATGTTAGATATTATTACTTCTAGGACAATTACCATACTACTACTATTGTCTTACAACGTATTTGTCAAGATTAAAGTATATGAAGCATTTAGCAGAGTGCTTAGCATGTAGTAAGTGCTCAAAAAGTGATAGCTTTTCTTATTAATAAATGTAAGTTTATATTTATCATTTTATTACATCTTTTCTAATGCTTTGTGGCTTAAGTGGTGTATAAAACAACTACCTATTGCAGCTATACCTATCAGATTTCATTGTGTTAAATTTAGACCACCACTATAGGGAATCCAGATTATCTGTGACTCTGATCTTGCCATCCAATAAATTTCCTTATCTTTTTGGCTACCTGTTATCTGTAAATTTGACAAGAATATGTCCTGCTACATGTAATGAGTACATAAGTTGAATAGGATAAAGATGAAGCAGAGTGCTTTGACAAAATCCAAGTCACTCTCGAACACACTGGCATATATTCTAGAGAGAGCTGCAAGCACATACTCTTTAGAAGTCATTCTGTAGCCTAACTGTTTACAGTAACATTAGTACTACTATTTTGAAACTGTTATATGTATAGAGAGAGAGATGGAATAGAATAGGGTAATGAAAATATTTAACATTGTTATGAACTAAGATTTTCAATGTAAGGAAAAAGGGATAAAATTGTAAAATCAAACAAATTTAAGTAAAAATCCTATAATGTTAAATCTGGAATGGCAATATTAATATGAACTTGTGATTTTTTTCTTTTCAAAAATATGTATTATTCTGTCCACTGAAAAGTCCTAGAATCAATAAACAATCCTAACACTCATTTAATGGGAATCAGCCATTTCCCACTTAAAAAAAAAAAATCCTTGGGGAAATGGCTGATTCCAGTTCTAGTTCAGGTAATATATGAGATGCGCCTGGAATGAATTATACCAGAAATCAAGGAAGCTATGCAAAACCAAAGGGTGATGTCAAAAGACACAAGAAGAGCTCCCACTGGCCAAAGGTAATTCATTTTGAACATTGTAACAGATACTGAGGTCCTTCAACCAGTTCCCCTCTTCAAGGTCAACACGATCATCTCCCAACTGCTGGCACCATCAAATGCTGATGGCTCATAGTTGCATCTCTCATTGGAAATTGCTCTCAGAAACTATCTCAAGGTAAGTTAGCCACTGACCAAGGGGTGGCCTGCAGCCACAGCTAATGTGGGGATACAAAAACCTGGCCCCTTTGCCTCAATTTGCAATGACTCTGAAGGGCCACCCCATCTCCAGAGCTCCCCATAAGACAGCTGAGACTTCAGTTGCAACGCATCACTGGGCCACCTCTCCCTCGGCCCAGTCCTCTCTTTCTCACTCCCTTATGTGTATATCTCTCAAGATGACTCCCCAGTAAATCTTCTGCGTGCAACTCCCCATCCCACAGTCTGTTTCTAAGGAACCAGTCTAAGACAGTTTGTACCAGAATGTTTTAAGGAAGCAAACTCTAAAATGTGATTTTGAAGATGGATTACTCACCTGCTGGCTGGAATAAAAACCTCATTGCTAGTACTAGCAGAAGATGGATATGGATAGCTCCTGGCATGCTGGAGTGGCGTAACTGCTAAAACTTTCACCAGTGATGAACTGAGAAGAAACACAGATATTAGGGGGTGCACTGGCTAGTGTAACATCTTTGATGCTTAAGTATGAGAAATGATGATTCAAGGACTACAGAAATGGATGGGTGAGCACCTTGATATCTAGTAACAACACGATTTAATAATCTAGTTCAATTCAATTTGGTAAGTATTTAATCATCTACTATATGCCCAGAACATATGAAAATAAAGGTGCGACTAGGACATTAATGATCTTCCACTTTCACAGTATCTTATTTGTTTCAGCTTTCCATGATATATTTCTCATCCCCCTCATTCCATTGCAGGGGTCCAAAACTGCTGCTCTTTGGAATCATCTGAATATCTTTTAAAAATACTGATGCCTGACTCCTACCCCCAAACATTCTGATTTAATTGGGATGGAGTACAACCTGGGCATCAGGATTTTTAAAAGCTCCCCAAGTGATTCTAATGTGCACCAAAGGTGGAATATCATTAAAATAGATATCTCCTAGCTATCAAGGAGATTTTAAATTTATTTTACACTGGTTATTTTTTTTTTTTTTTTTTTTGGTGAAGAAGATTGGCCCTGAGCTAACATCTGTTGCCAATCTTCCTCTTTTTGCTTGAGAAAGATTGTCTCTAAGCTAACATCTGTGCCAGTCTTCCTCTATTTTGTACGTGGGACACTGCCACAGCATGGTTTAATGAGCAGTGCATAGGTCCACACCTGAGATCCAGGCCTGCAATCCCCAAGCCACTGAAGCGGAGCACTTAACCACTTAACCACTTAAGAACTTAACCACTACGCCACCAGGCCAGCCCCTATTTTACACTTTTGAGTGGTTAGTAATGCCTTAAGCTTAACAAAGATTATTATAACAAATTTGCATCATTTATTCTCGTCTTTTCTAGCCTTTGCTGGGATAACTTTTGCAAAGATTACTTCTTAAATTTATCTTAGAAGTAACAAAACTGAAAATCAAGACAACTACTCATGTATTGCTGGAAATAAAATTTGCTTCAGAACTAAAGACAACATATGCATTAGCAGATACTCAAATTTTTTCTTTCCAAATGTTTGCATTTACAATATTAAACTGGTGCCAGGGGCTTTCATTATTTCACCTTCCTGGATGACATACTGTTCTATTGCTCTTCAAGTTGGTGACACACATTAGCTGATGAGGCTTTGAACCCTCCCCTAGCGTTATTTTCTGCAACAGGCCCAGGCAGGCCTTGGAAGTTCTGAATAGAACAGTAGAATAGCAATGTACTTAGATTTCAGAAAAGAACAATCAAACAGAAACTAAACATCACGCAAGACTTCCTTCAGTTGCTTGTTTACAATGATTTTAAACACCTTATTTAAATCACCTCCTACATCTTAATGACAACCATACCTTCTATTATCATTAACATTCACTCAGCGTCTATTTACTGACCATCTACTACATATTAGATACTGCTAAGTGCTGTGGGATTAAAAGAAAATTCATCTCTCCTTCCAAGAGGTTTATAATCTAGAGAAGAAAATCAGATATGTACACAAGTGACCATTTGGATACAAAGTTTGCGAAATGGGGTACTCAAAAACTGCTGCATGTTTCAAGCATGGTGACCAAGACAATAATGTTACCAGTGAAATAAGTGAGTTTGGCAGAAGAGCCAGTATAAGAAGAACAACGGTTGGTTCAGGTTGAGATATACTGAGTTTCCGATGGCAATTAAACACCCAAGTAGTAATGGCCATTGAAAGCATATTAGATTTTAGCAGAAGCTCTAGCCTAGGACAGCTTAAGCCAAACTCATATTTAAGTAAAATAGAAAATGGCTGCTCAAATTTGAAGACAAAAAACAACTCTTCCACTGTTTTTACGTAATGCCTAAGATCCCATCATATGACATTTATTGCCTTGATTAAGACATTGTCTTTCCGTGACTTCCTTTTGAAAATGTCCAATGAGTTCTCCACAGTAGAAGAAAAGGATCGTGTTCTGTCTGGAGACGTTTGGAAGAGGGAAGGAAGCCTGGGGAGGGCGCCACAGAAAATGAAGAAATTTGAGGTTTCTGGCAGTGTGAAATGAGGATGAAGAACAGAACAAAGGGGAAGCATCAAAGACATATTTTACCTTTTTATTAAGCTTATAACAGAGAATCAAATGGTATAAAACATGAAAATAACCAAAATGGCCTTGTACAAGTAATAGTTTCCAGAATTGCATTTCTTCATTTTAACACGAGGGAATTCAACTTGATCACTAAGGTATCTTCAAGCCCCAAGGTTCACCAATAAAGATAAACCTTCAACATCTGATTCTACGTTTGTCTTCTTGATTTTAGCTAAACTTCATCTATAAAATGAAAATATTTACATATAGAAGTTCAAACATAGGCAAAATAATTTTAAAATAGCATCTAAATTGAACATAAAATTCACTGGACTTCTGATGTCATAAGCAGTCTTCTAATCAGCCCTATTTGATTTCATTAGCTGCCATTCCTTAAGCTGCAGCTCACATCCCTAGGCTCATCCACCCATTTGCAAATGCACGTCATTGCTAATGAGGGAAAAAATAAAGACGTTTTAGCAAAAATACCACTTCAGACAAAAAGTGTATTTTTTTGATAACAACAAGTAAGTAGCACCATTTTGTAAAGCAATGAACTAATTCTACAACCCACACAGGAACTCAGTCCCATTATGATCAAACTGCATATAAAGGCAGTTATATGATCGAAACAAAACTGCATATACCAAAATTCAACCCAAATCAACCCAAAGGAAATTAAGGTTAGAGCTGCCTAACCTACTAAGAGAAACTCATTTACTAATAAACTAAATGAATCTTAAACCATATGATGCTTCTTTTTCATAAAGTTATCATGCTAGTGTTTTATTTACCATAAGCCTTTTTCTATTTTATTTTTATTTTCTATGTGCATTATTGAGCACTCAGAAGGTTAGTGGCATTGTGCCAGAGGGCACAAAAAGATATATATATCATGCATTAAGTTGGAAACCAAGATAGCCCACTAAAAATACTTGAGGGTGTGAGAAATTGTATATACAGTGCTCTGCCCTAATATAATAAATATGTGTTACATATACCAGCACTCTGTACTATTATAATAAAATGCTAATTTCAAAATGCTATTAGAGTATTGGAGAATAATGCTCTCTTACTAATGGAAAGTACTAATTATAGAAGGAATATATTAAGTGCAAAAGGAGTTAGAGAAGGGAAAGATCACCAAGGGAATGGCACCAAGGAAGATTTTACCCAGGAATTAGGACTTGAGCTTGAGACTGAAACAAGCTACAGATGAGCTGAGTGGGGAAGGACCACATGAACTTTACTAAATGTCAGCATGATGAAATCCTTGAGATGTATTCTATGGATGCAGAGGAAATAAAGATAACAAGTGAGAGTTACGGAATTTTTAAAAACTAAAGAATTTAAATTCCACCTAGAAAAATGGCTTAAGTGCGAAATGGGGAGAGTAGAAATAAAAACAAGAATAAGTAGACACAGAACGATGCTTAAGAGAATGGCATTTTAACGTATTTTCATTCTTGTAAATGAATTAACAAGATAATCAGTCAATTTCCTCCATTTGGCTTCATAGCGTTACAGGACACATCCTAGAACTCATAAGAATAGACTTTCTTTGTGCCCCTAGACTGCGTGTTCACTTGAAATTACCTCTGTAAACCTTGAAAATCTACCTGAGGTTTTTTGGAGAGGTCACAGAAGCTCATCAGTGGTGGGCAGTGCCCAGGAAAGCTAATCTGTTTAGTCATAGCCTAGAGAAGTTCATGGCCCCTCCAATGACTCACAGAATAAAGCCCTGAAACGTTCTGGTAGGGCCAGTGCAGTCACCTGCTGCCCTATGGCTAATTTCGCTGACCAAACGTTATGATGTGGTGGTGCCAAGGGAGTGGTTTCCTTTGAATTCCCATGTGTATATGACCCTGTTTAAAACAGCCTGGCTTTTGTGATCGTCCTCGCTGCTTCTCCTTGTGGACTAACCCTTCTCAAGATTTACTTCCTCCTGCCAGCCCCTCAATACAGCTGGATACTCTCAGAGCTGCTCCTGCGCTTTCTGCTTTCCTCATTCTATTCTCTATTCAGGAAAAGCCCATTGCTGTTAGTCAGCTACTCTGTCCTCTGTGAACCATAGCAGGTGCTGGAGGGTCAATGAAAACTAAGACACTGTACCTTTCTTGGGGATCTCATTTATCCTCACGAATTCAACTATTACAGCTTTAGAAAACTACTAAATTTCTCCTTCACTTCTGGCCTCTTTCCAGAGTTCCAGCTCCATATACCTAACTCCACCACAATGTCCTTCCATTACCTAAAACTAAACATGCGCAAACCTAAACACATCATAATTATCCTTCGCCTGGATTTGCCTCGCAACATCTCCACTTGTCATTGAAACCTGAAGGTTAATCTTGTTCTCGCTCTCTTCACTTTAACCAGTCACCAAGTCCTATGAAGTGTCCTTCACAAGTCTCTCTTATTCATACCATATATTTAATACACCACTTCATCCCAAGGCGATGAAAATAACCTCCTCCATGGGCTTTCAGTCTCCTTGTCTCTCTCTCTTCTAATCTATGCCAATTTATTAATCTCCATAAAACAACACATTATATAAGTCATAGGTCCTTCAGTCATTCTTCAGAAGAATGAGATTAAAACTCCCTGGCCTGAAATTTACAGTCCTCCATGATCTATCTCCTACTAACCTGCCTCTCTAATCTTACTTCCCCAGTGGGAACACGCTCATTGCTCTCCCAATTGACCATGTATATTATGGTCTTCATGAATATACTTGTGCTTTTCCTTCATAAGTTGCTCCTGCTACCAAGAACATCCATTCTCCATCTTCTTCCTTTACCTATGTCCTGCTCTTCCTTCTAGCTCGATCCCATATTTTCCATACAGCCTTCTCTGTGTCCCAACTTTTGGTGATTTTCCCTTTTCCTTTTTCCTAAATACTGGCAATAATGAAGCTTACATTAGTATTCAGGAGTCTTTAAACACCTATTAATCTAGCCACCTTGGTATTTAATATAATTATATATAATACAAATATATAAATAATAAATTATTATATTGCATACATTAATATAATTAATACACTATAACTTTCTTAATTAATTATCTATGTATACAAATTGTCTATCACTCCAACTTGACCATAAATCCCTAGACTGTGTTCCTTAAAGATGGTAAATATACAACATGGTTGCTCCTACTGCTAAGCCGTAACTAAGGGCTCAAGCAATTTTAATTATAAAGCCTATTTTTTAGATTGTGATTTACTAAAAGATAAATTAATCTAATGTTTTCATATTGGAAGCAACAGTATCGATTAATCAATAAATATAAACAAGAAGCTAATTAAGAATCTGGTGCACTCTTACTAATAAGAGTACCATGAAATGGAATCAGATTTATAAAATTATAAAAACTGCTGGCAGTTCATTTTAGCTGGAAAGAAAACATCCTCTCATAATTCAACGGATTCACTGATTTTTAGTTCTTTAAAGGCACTAAATTGACTTCAGTCTCCTCTTGCTTCAACATATAAACTAGTTCCTAAATATAGTATTATGAATGTTAATAAAGTAATCTGACAATTACTGATCTATCTAAAAATCAAAACATGGTTTTATATTTCCTAAGAGAAAACACACATTTTTTAAAAACAGGTTTAAAAAGAAGCTGCTAAAATCCGGTAATTTCTAATCAGTCTGAGTCTTCTCTTCTTCCTCCCTGACAACATCCATCAAAAGCTATGGAAGATACAAAATGTTCAGATGGTGTGTTTGCGTGTGTTGACAGGAGAAAATAGGTTGTCTCCATCTTTTGTAATTCCTCAGTCCCATCACCCTAGCCTCTTATCTAGGAGTGGTAAATCTAGCCAATATAAATTTGCCAAAGCTAAAGCAGAAGGTATTTGTTTTCTGTACTCTTCCTGGTTTCCTCCTAATCACCAATCTCACCTCCTTTCCTTGGTGCTCCTTCTCCATCACCCTAATCACCAAAAGCCCAGAAATTAAATAAAACAGTAAACAATTCCCCTGAAAGGTACCTTCCTGGTGCTGTCTAAAACAAATGCAATCTTCTGTTTGGGCATTTAAAACACCACGAGCATTCTTCCTTAGATTAAACCGTGGGTCTCCCTGGTCTCCAGGCATGCCTAGACATGAACCATAAAGGCAATGAGATCCGTGGAGTTTCTCTAGTAACTGCGGGCCAAACCAACAGCAACCCTAAGAACAAGCATTCTGGTTTTTTTTAAACAGAACTAGGCCACACACATTTTCTCTCGTTACTTTTTTAGTTGTACTACTTACAAAATAAACTGCCTTTAAAAACATTTATTTCAATAGGCAATGAATTTTGATGACTTTTATATATGAGTTTTATTTTTTACTATCTCTGAAGAAAAGTTTTAAAAATCTAAATTTCAAGGTGTCTACTGCAACCATTGCCTGGGATGGCAGCAATCCAGCTCAGGTAAGACATGCAAGATGCAACTAATAATCATAAAATGTCAATCAGGAAGAGGTATTAAATAGAGTATTGGGTAAAAATGACTAACAATTTAAAAGAGCAGAACTGTTTTTGTAACTATATCCTAATCAAGACTTATAAGTCTACATATCGTTAATGGAATGGAGTCTACGCCTGAATTTATTTTTACATATATATTTATAAAATACAAAATTAGCTCTACAGTTTTCTCTAGAAAGCTCAGTGGTTAATTAGCTCTGATTTCAGCCTGTTGCCTGGTGTGGCTTAGTACATTGTACATGTTAAGGGAGTATGAGGAATTTATGTAATGTGTTCTGCATTGTGCCTCTCCCAAAGATATGATGAATACAAATTATAGTTAGTTGTAAATGACCTGTCTTTTGCAATTTAACTCTACAAGTTAACTGTTACCATTAAGCTTTCTGCACTGTACATTTTATACTTCGCTCTGGTTTCTTACTCTTCAACTGGTATTCGCAGAACAAATGATGCATTGGGCAAAAAATGTGCTGTCTTTCATATTCAAAGAGAACACTATAACTCACGCAAACTTATCCCTGGAAAGTTCTCCTGGTGTTTCAGTAGTGTGAGTTTGGAATTTGTGTTAATGATCTTGATTACCTGCCCTTATCCATGTTACATCTGTCAGGTGGCATCTATGAGACCATTTGCTGGTCTTAGGGAATCAATCTATAGCTGGGAAGTTTCCCTTTGGGAAAAATAATTTAGAACTAAGCTTTCAGGGTCAACAAGGAGTACTCTATACTGGGTGCATGTGGACCATGTGTGAGGGGTGGCGGGTGGCTACTTCCAGTTGAGTTCTACAAAATGTTTAATCAGAGAATATTCTTTATCCTCTCCTGATTCATTCATTGAAGGAAAAGTGGGGAAGGAGTAACTAAAGGAAAGAAATATTAGTTGAGGTCTCCCAGAAATCCTCCGTCACTCTCCTCTTTGCCCACTCTACCCCAACTTCACACAGAAACACATCTACATCATCAAATGTGGAATTGTAAGAATAAGAAAATGTAACTAGTCACAAGACATCGTTTCTTTGGCCTCCCCAGCCCTCCCCCTGAATGCCCAAATTTAGTCTTGCTTCAAGGATCTGCTCAAGTGTCACCTCCTCCACGAAACTTCGTTGACCAATTACAGTTCTGGTCGATGTCCCACTCTACCCCCTTCTATTTCTACCCAATTTAGTGTGTATTATATACTGTCTTGAATGGTAAATAATGTGTATTCACTCCATGTTACCAAGAACGTACATATGGAGGGTGGAATGAATGACTTCGGTGCTGACCATATAGGAGATAGTTAAATAAATATGTGCTACAAATAGGAATAGTTTTGCCTAAAGCTGACCTTCAGAGTACGAAACTTTGGCCTTGATATCAAAAGCACGGCACTTTGATCTAATTAACAGCTGGCTAGCACAGTGACCAGAAGATCCAGCCTTCCACCTCATTGCATGGCCCTCCAAAAGTATAAGGGGAACCCAAGGGTACAGGTGGGACTCTCAAAGGCAGCCCTCCCACATGTCAGAGGCTACCCAGGCCTATCTCCATTTGGAAAATTTGAGCCTACAATTTGGTACCTGACAAGCTGTTTTCCCCAACAGGGATGGGTATGAAAACTGGGTGGGTTTGTGGGGTTTCTCGGGGAGGAGGAAGGGAGATGTCCCTCCCTCCGTATCAGGAAGAGAAACTTCTCAAGAATCTGTGCCTCTGTCTCCAGGGCCTCTTCCCTACAGGGGCCCGCCCTCTGCCCCTTCTCGTAGCTTCCTCCCCTCCCCCATCTCGCCCCTCCCCCATCCCACCCCGTCTCGCGCCCGCCCCACCCCCTCTGCCCGCGGGGTTCCAAGGGCGGTTGGCCCGCCACGGCCACGGTCACTCGGCCACTCGGAGCTGCACGGGGTTGAGAGAGCCGGCTCTAGGGTTTGGGCTAGGAACCGAAGAGAAGTTTTCTGGAGACGGGTCGCACCGAGAGTGAGGGAGGTGGGAGCTGCGCCCGAGAAAGCTGAGGGCAAAGGAGAGGGGACGGAGACCTGAGGGAGAGGGCCCTGGGAGGCGCGGGCGATCGCGGGGCAGGGGAGGTGAAGCCAGCCGGTCGGGCCCTCCCTGGAGTCACCTAGGGTGGGGGCGCCCGGCCCCGCGGGTGCAAGTCCCCTTTGGAGCGCCGCCCGCTGGCTGTGCCACGCCAAGTGTGCGCGGCGAGTCCGGCGGGGACCAGCGCAGCCCGCGGGCCCGGCGAGGGTCCCCGGTGGGTCTGGGGGCGTCTGCTGGGGCCAAGCACTGTCAGGCGTCGCCTCGGGTGAAATGTGGGGCCGAGGCGCGCCCCGATCCGCGGCCCGCTAGCTCGGGGACACCGCGTCGGCGCTGCGGACCGTCCGGGAGCTGCAGCCCGCCGGCGCCCGGTGCTCGGTTTGTAGGCAGTGTAATTAGCTGATTGTACTCTGGAGCTTACAATCACTAACTCCACTGCCATCAAAACAAGGCACAGCATCACTCGCCGCCCTGCTGGGAGGAGGACGCCACCCTCCGCGGCGAACTGCCGACCCGAAGCGTTTGAGAAGAGAAAGCTGCGCTTCGAGGCTGGATGCGTCAGCATTTCTTCCGCGCGGCGCGGCGAGCGCGTGGTCCGCGTGCGAGCAAACCCCCTGCAAACGCAGGCGGGCTGATGCTTCTAGCTGGAGTTAGTTAGCTATCGCTAGGAGTAAAAGCAAGATTGGGCGATCCCATGTAAGGAAAGCAAAATCTGGGGCGTTTAGTAGCTTTAATTGTAAGGTGTAAAGACGTTTGAATTGCTGGGGCAAGCCCCCTGTGTAACGTTCAGAGCTGTGAGTCACTGTGCCTATTTTCCAATGTTTATCAGGGTACTCACCAATCCACCAACTAAAGTGAGTACCACGGAGCCAGTGATCTGCCTGTCACGACGCATGGGGGCACCAACTTGAGACTGAAGTTTGTGATGAAAGTAAAGCTTTTTTGCTGTGAGTCTAGTTACTAGGCAGTGTAGTTAGCTGATTGCTAATAATACCAATCACTAACCACACGGCCAGGTAAAAAGATTTGGGAATTCAACCAGATGAGCTGCGTGTGCACACCGTTGGGTTTGGGGGCAAGAAGGGGATTGGAATACCCTAATAGTACGCATTGCCTGTTTATCCATAGCTCAGCCAAGAGAGAAATCAGCATTTTAGCTGCTAAATATACAACATATGTAGTAAATATACATTTTTAACATATAATTTTTCAATGTTCCTTCAGGCGCTTAACCAAAAAAATTTTCAGATATATTGAGGAATAGAGGTTTTCTCTCTTAGCTCATTTATGTCATTGTGTAAACTTGTGATTATTGACTTTTGAACTATCTTTCTGTAAGACTGTATTACTATTTTGAAAGAATAAAGTGCCCTAAAGTCATAAATTGTGGTCATTCATGTGTCCATTGCCTTTCCTAAGTTGGCTTTATGATGTCCTTCTCAGCGCCTGCCACAGTAATTATAACTTTCCTATCGCTAAAATGGTTAAATTGTTCCTAGATTAACAAAATCTCCCGGGAAGGCTGTTCACAAGCACTTTTTAGTATTTTTCTAAGAACACGTTAACAAAATTTTCCGTATTTTTCATGAAGGGACTGAGTCCACTCATCAGGTATACCCCTTCTTTGAAGTGATCGTTTACAACTGTTGCGATCCAGGCAACTTTTACTGGGACTGATTAGCAAATGTAGTTACAATTTAACCCAGCTTCTTTCCTAAAATTTGTCTTAAAGGATTCAGGGGGAAATGTATAACCAACGCTATATACGTAGATACCTATCCGCCCAGTTCAGACCTCTAGTTCCCACAGGGTAAGATGTCAGCTGCCCTATGGAATTCTCCAACCGATGCAGACCCAGAACTTCCACATGGGGGATGCTGAGTTGGGGGCAATCTGGTGTAGAAGGGGTTATTGGGGCGGCGGGGCTAAGGAATTGAAAGCTTTCTTTAGATAGCTTTTTTGGCGTGGAAGCTGGGGTGGGGGTGGGGAGGCAGGTAGAAGGCTGACGGGATGTGAGAGCTGAATGGCTCTCCCACTGACTCCAACAGGAGAGGACACGCCCCAAGATTAGTGTTTTGACTCTCCGATCTCGACTCCAAGGCTTGGACTGGTCCGGAAGCCTGTCATCACTGCAGAAGTGGGCTTCAGATGGCCCAGAAGCGCGCGCTGGACCCCAACATCTACCGACGAAACTAAGGGCTTCCAGCCGAGACTGTTGTCAACTTGGCAGTTCACCAAGGGGCGGGGCTGGGAGACGGGAGAGGGAGCTTGGAGAAGCGTCCTGAGTTGCCATGGAAACGAGGCCCAGTAGCAGTCCTAGCAGCGGACAGGAGCCCCCTGAAACTTGTCCCCAGGGATTACTGGTGTTTGCTGGCTCTTCAGAAAAGGATGCCAATTTAGCCAAGCAGTTCTGGATCGCGGCGTCAATGTATCCTCCTAACGAATCTCAGTTGGTGCTGTCCAGAGGTAGCAGTCAGCGTCTGCCGGTGGCGGGGTGCCCTAAGAGCAGTGGGCTTGGTGAGTAGCTGCCTCCTATGGATGATTTCTGCCTCCACCGTAACTAACCTGGAAGATTCCAGAGCCCCTCCCAGGGAAAACTGCCGAACCTAATTCTAAAACAAGAATCTCATTGCAAATTAAAACCCTATACAAATAGTTATTAAACCTTCTCGGCAATCCTGCCACCCAAAAAGGATCAATGGCATCTCTGTTACATCTTAAACATACATTTTAAAGTATCCCTTAGATTATGGCATCTATTTGCTAAACAGTATAGAATAATCTGGGAGAATGTTATATGTTAGCTGAAAGGATATTAAAGGTAGTTGTTTACATAATTGAGTTCAAACATGAAAGCCCTGCAGAAAGTTGAAAGGAAAGTCAACACTGGGAACAAGTTTCCTGACCTGTAAGACCTTAGTAAAGCCTAAGATACGGAAAAATGCCATTTTTATAGGTATAGAAAGTTTAAATACCTTTAACGCTGTGGTTTTTCCAATAATTTCTTTATTTCCTTTTTATATCTTTTAGGGAAAAATTACTCGCAGCCTCTTTTTCCTAAGCAAAGCAGTAAGTACCAAGTTTTATGCCTTTCAACATCCTGATTCCTAGATTCTTCAGAAAATAGGTAATAAGCATAAGCCTGCAACTTTACACTTTGGGATAACTTTTTGAATAACATACCAATGAGACCCTGCCTCAGGGACCACCCGATTTCTCCAGAGGAAAATGTCTAATTTCCTATAACACTTTAAATAGGAATGTAGTAATTGGAATCTCTGATACTGCAAATATGTCCTCTTTGGAGACCTTTTCTCGTCTCTGGACTCAGGCTGACTCCTAAAGAGATTAGAGATTCCTTGCAACCATAGCCAATTAATTCAGTCTCCAGTTATTTTGAATCTGACTTATAAAGTTTCAAGACATAGTGCATATTCGTGTTTACCTTCCTACTCTATGTATTGCCTTTTAACCTTTATCCAGTTATATACCAACATGATTGTAAATTCATGATAAAATTATTTCAGATTGAATTTGACTTTATTTGCTTTAGAGAGTATAGATCCCGTTGCTGAAACCCTAAAGATTCAGGAATCTAAGGAGAAAGAAAAGTATCTCCAAAAGGTAAGCCAGTATTTCAGAAGATCATCTGATGTTCATTACATTTTCTAAATAACCCCATTTATTCCTTTTTAACATATATATATATATATATATATATATATATATATATATATATACAAATTTCTGCTTCTGGCATGTCAGCTTGAGCAACTGGAAAACCTTTTTTAGAACTGAAGATTAATAAATTCTATCAGACTTTAACTATTCTCAGTCTCTGCAAAAACCCAAGGATGTATAGGAACAACAGAATCAGAGGAAAACGGGGAAAGATGGATTCACACACTTTCTATTCAATAAGGCCCCAAACCATATACAATGTCCTAAAAACGAATAATAGAAGAACAGAAAAACTCAAATAGAATTGAATTCTTAGGGCCTGTCCGGTGGCACAGCAGTTAAGTGCGCACGTTCCGCTTTGGTGGCCCAGGGTTCACTGGTTCGGACCCCCGGTGCAGACATGGCACCGCTGGGCACACCATGCTGTGGTAGGCATCCCACATATAAAGTAGAAGAAGATAGGCACGGATGTTAGCTCAGGGCCAGGCTTCCTCAGCAAAAAGAGGAGGATTGGCAGCAGTTAGCTCAGGGCTAATCTTCCTCAAAAAAAAAAAAAAATTTGACTTCTTAATTGATCAAAATTAAATGATCAGAGGAATGAGTCTGTCATCTAGAACCATTTTGACTAAAGGCTGAAATTAAGCACATTGGTATTTGTTGTCAAATCAACTGAATGCCTCTCTTGGCAACATTTCTTGTTTGCTCCTCCTGATGCAGGCACAGCCTTTAACTCAGTAATTAATACAGTGCTTTATAGAAACATTTTGTTTGGTTAATGGATAAATTCCATTCCTGTAACTGTTCCTGTACTACAAAAGCAAAGATAGAGGATTCATCTTGGCCTAATGTCTTCAATCATTGGACATGTTGGCAAACTCTGAAAGACTTATCGGGAATTTTACATAAATTACAGAACAATGCATTTGAGTTTGCTGATCACATTAGTTCACTTTGTGGACTGTTGGTGATTCCTCCAAACAAATTAGGTGATTAGAAATAGTTAGTCAGCATTTTCTTCTCTCTTGAGAATATTAGGTACTTATATATTTATACTAGGACTTAATGGGGGGAGGAAGCCTAATTTTCAGTGAGATAAAAATCATTAAAAATTGACTTCTTCAGCACTTTTGGAGTTTTAATTTTCATTTATTTTCATTTTTGGAAGGGATTAGAAATAAAAGTTTGAAGGCAAACTATTATCAATTTTTATCATCTTTTGTCAAGCAATTAAGACAATTTGCTATGAGTTGCAGGTGGATATTCTGCTAATGGACTATTATATTAGTAGTCTTAGAACTAGTTTCCTTGCCTCAGGTTCTTCTATTAACTTATTAATTACTTAATTAATTCCACAGATGTTTATTGAGAACCTGTTCTGTGCCAACTTCTATACTAGATGCTGGGAATGCAAGGATAAGATGTGGTCCCTGATCTCAGGGAGTTTACAGTCTGGTGGAGGAGATAATCAATAAAATCAAGAATTATGATACATTATTATGATAGACGTATGCACATAATATTATGGGAATATGTTGAAGGACATCAAAATAAACCTTAAGGAGTCAAGAATCTTTCCCAAAGGAGCCAAGTTTCGAAGAATGTATAGAGTTGACCACATAATATGCAGAGCAATCCTCCACACTGTACTAGTTATCTTCCTCAAACCCAAATCCAATTATGCTACCTCCTACTGCATTAGTCAGCTGGGGCTGGCCTAACGAGATACCACAGACCAGGCGGCTTAAACAACCGAAGTTTGTTTTCTCACAGTTCTGGAGGCTGGAAGTCTGAGATCAAGATGCCGTCAGAGTTGGTTTCTGAGGAGGTCTGTCTTCCTGGCTTGTAGATGGCCACTTTCTCACTGTGTCCTCACATGGCAGAGGAAGAGAGCTCTGGTGTCTCTTCCTCTTATAAGGATACCAGTCCTATCAGATTAGGGCCCCATCTTTATGACCTCATTTGAGCGTAGTTACCTCCCTAAAATCCGTGTCTCCAAATGCAGTTACACTGCGGGGTTAGGGCTCACCATGGGAATTTAGGGGGAACACAATTTAGTCCATAACCTACTTTCATTTTTTTCCATTGCTCTCCACTTCTGCAGGATCGAGATCAAACCCTTGAGTATGGCATTTCCAATCCAACTGATTTCTCCTACCACTCTCTTCCTTCCCCGGTTCCCCTCCCCAGCCCCCAGTGTAGTCGACTCTGGACAGTTGGTTCTCAACCACTAGGCTGGGGCATACTGTGTACCCCAGCTCATATGGGTTACCAAAGTGGTGAATGGGTAAAACATATTTTTGCTAAACCTAAACATACACATTATTCTGTGATATCTGCCAAATTGTACATTAAGTCAAGTGGGTCCTGCAATGCAGTATAGAAGAAGATTCTATTTGTTGAGAGTATAAGGTAAGATGCCTAATAAAACTGCAAGCCAGCAGGAAAGAAAGAGAATGTTATTGAAAATGTGCCTTGCGAGTATAGTGTGGCAGAGCTTAGTCAGTCCTGCACAGTACAGTTCTGTTCAAACAAGGCCATGGTGCAAAAAGCAACCGTGAGAATCCTGCAATGTGAATGCTCTTATGGTCATCCTCAGCTATTATTGTGGTGTAGTATTCACAGCAGCCCAGTTAGCAAGTGCTGACCATGTGCTACGTGCTAAGCTAAGCAGTTTACATGTATCAAGTCATAGACTGCTTAGAATAGCCTCATGATGATTATCCTCATTTAATCAACAAGGCTTAAACTATTTTCCAAAGTTCCCGCAACTGGTAAGTGGCAGAGCCCAGATTCAAAGCATGAATCCTAACCCCAAAGCCCATGAGACTCATTGTATTGTAATGATTGCCGGCTCCGCCTCGCTCAGGTATGCTGCCAAACATTCTACCGCTCTGAGAGTGAGAAACACTGTTTATAGCCCTGTGGGACTATAACCTGTTTCTTCAACCTGCAATGCACTTTTATGTCTCTACCTAAAATGCTCTTCCTTATTTACCTTCAAGGCCTAGCTCAAATGCCAGCTTCTCTGTGAAGCCTTTCCAAAGGTAACCTAGAGACCAGCAGAATGAATAGCTTCCTGCTCTATGCTCCTATAGCTAGTCACATATTCCTTTCTCATTGTATTTATTACAGTCTCTGATCTGTTATAGGTCTTTGTGCACATTTCTGTCATTCCTGCTAGATTACAGGCACCATAGTAAAGTGGACCATGGAGACAGAGTGGATTTGGAAGTCTAACTCTGCCACTTGTCATTTGTGTGACCTTGAGCAACCTATTTAACCCCTGTGAGACTCAGCTTCCTCAGATATAAAAGGAGGAATGATAAAAATATCCACTCCATAGAGTTGATGTCAGATATGGAAAGTGCCTGGCCGTAGTTTGCCCAAATGTTAATTCTCTTTTCCTCTATGAGGGCAGAGGTCATTTCTTATTTGCTTAACCTTGCTGCCTTTCCAGTTATTGAAACTCAATAAATATTTGTTGATTGAATAAACAAATGCATAATTGAATTAATTAATGAGTGAACATATGTTCTATTCAGTGATATTTCCATTTTGTTTAGCCTTTTCCACATATATCCATATGGCAAATTTTTCTAGGCTAATAATTTTTGCAAGAATACTCCCAAAAACTTGTCTGTTTGCAAGTCTGCTTTCGGACCATTTTAGCACATCACCTCTCAGTGATGCTTATCTCAGTTTTGATTATCTCATGGGCCTATATATGATGGGAGGGAATGTGACTCCCTGTAATTACTAAAACATGGAATCTATTTTTGGATACCACTGTTTGTTTTTCTAAGTCTATAGTACTCTCTCTGCATTGTTGCCACCACCATTCCAGACTTTTAGCTTGATGGCAGAAAATAAATGGGCATGGAAGGTTCTTTTTAACTAATAAAACATTTGCAATGATCTATTTAAGAGAATCTTCTACATGTTTTGAGTATATACATTGATAGGTAAACTCTTGGTATAATTTTCATTTTAAAATGGGAAAAAATATTTCCCATGGATGCTCTTAAAGGTTTTTTATTCCACTTTCTCCTTAAAATTAATTACAATCTAAAAATTTCCATCTCCCCTAAAAGTACCTTTATAGTTTTTTCTCCTCAACTGATATTGAATTTTCAGTTGTTGAACTTTTTTTAAACTTTGTTATCCTCCATTTTGGAATATTTTCCAGGTATACATTATAAATGCTTTTGGTCAGTGGACAAAATGCTATTAATCATAACTTCTATTCCTGTGATGGATATCCATGGCAGAAAATCAAAAACAATTGAATCTGTTAAGATTAAAAGACTTACTCTGTCTATAAAGGAAACCTTATAGCACTACACTGGACCATTATTCTTCCTTTGAGAGTTCTAAAGGAGTCTGAGAACATTATAATAAATGAATAGTCAGCTAATTCTTTGAAATCATAAAACTAATTTGCTTTTTAGTTTTGCCACCTTTAAAAAAGCTCTTTAGCTGATTATCTCTTTATGAAAAGAATTATAAATAATTCATTTGCTGGAAGAAGGAAGAAGGGATCAGAGTGGTATTTTAAGGCATGTATATAGATGACATATTTGGAAATGTCATCTGGAATCAAAGTTTTAACAAGAGTGAAAATAAACTAAAGATTTTTACAAGGAAATTATTCAATCTGAAGAACAACGTCCCAGATATACTCTTTATTGGGATTGGAGTGTTAATCTAGCCCATCACACAATCTATACAACCAATACTGACCATAGTGTAAGTCTTCCTCAAAAATGTTTGCTACCTGGCACTTCCGTGAACCAGAAGCAAATCATGCTATGATGAGACCATTCTTAGAAGAAGACTCTAAGAAGCGTCGCTACACTAAGGTGTATCTTTAGACACTGAATCACGAAAGTGGAAAACTTTAACATTATTCTTCGTTATCTTACACTTGCAAAGTAGTAAGAGGGATACTCAGAATCATTATGTCAGTTTCGTAGAGCCAAATCAGAGATGCAGGGAATTTCCTCAGTGTCATTGCCAGGATGCTCAGATGAAAGAAAATCCGCTTCTTGTCAAATCGATCAGGATTGGCTTCCCAGACAAACATAAATTTTCTCAGTAACGTGTTATCTGGCTTTGTTTTAGTTTTGCTCTCCTGCCCTATTGTAATATTAACAAAATTCTTTTTCCTCCATAAAATAAATATTGTTAGAAGGTAGTGGGTTTCTCCTTCACCAACAAAAGCCACCTAGTCATTTAAATTTTTGTTGTTCTTAATTTGTCAAAGAATTCAACCGGAAGAATCTTAAAAACAGACTGTGCATTCACAGTAACAAGCAAATATTTTGGCGGCAGATGATAATTAGGAGATTGCATAAATATTAATGACTCTTATATCATCTATATACCACTTTGTTTTCAAACGTTATTCAGTCTTGGGGAACATTTTACATTGACAGGTGAGGTTCCCCTCTTAATCTTCTTTAGTAACATCTGCAGTCCATGAGAATATACTTGGGGAAAGGAATGAGATTTGGCATCAAATAGCTAAATTCATTGCCCCAGATAGACCCAGCCCCAGAGTTGGATAGGGCCATGCCCCAAATGCATCTCTTCCTCTTTTGTCCAAAGATCTGTATACTTTATGTTCTATACACATTCACCTTAAGAACAAAATAAAAGCATTTTAAATCTTAAGGTACTATTAGGAAAGGCCCTATACTAATTATCTGCTTGTAAAACATGATTAAATGAAACTATTGAGTGAAGCAAAAAAAGATCATGTATCTTTTTAAAATAAATGCAGAAGAACTATCAATTTGACTCCAGTTACATGAAGCTTTATTGTTCAAATTAGTAAACACCTTACAAGCAGTAGAGCAAATCAAATAGGATTTATTGAAGGATTGGAATATTCTGTGGGTCAGGTAACTCAGAAAATAATCATGACATACCTGAAATCAAAACCATAATTTACCTTTTCCCTTTGCCTCTATCAAAAGCAAGATGAAAATATCTGTAAGCAAGTTTTATTGGAGCCAGATAAAGTTAAATGATTTATGTATCTGTATTTACTTCACCATTTTCTATGATGAGGTATATTAGTCACATGAAGTGTGGTCAAGAATGCCCTCAGAGCCTGAGGTAACAGTCATTTTCTAGTTCGTTCTTGAGATTTTATAGTTCCCTAAGCCACTGTGTTGGTAATATAGTCAATCCTCATTATTCGTGGATTCCATACTGCTAATTCACTTAGTAGCTACAATTTGTAACCCCAAAATCAATCCTCATGGCACTTTCATGGTCATTGATGGACATCCGCAAAGCAGTGAAAAATCTGAGTTGCCCACCATACATGTTCCTAGCTGAGGTTGAATGAGGCAATGGTTGGCCTTCTTATTTCAGCTCTTATACTGTGAACAAGTTTCCTTTTTGCAGTTTATATAGTGCCACATCGTTTTTAGCTTTTTTTTTTTTTTTTTGGTGACTTTGCTGTTTAAAAATAGCCTCCAAGTGCTGAAGTGCTATGTAGGGCTCCGAAGCGCACGAAGGTTGAGATGTGCCTTATGGAGAAAAGACATGCATTAGATGAGCTTTGTTCAGACAGAAGTCATAAGCGCTGCTGGCCATGAGTTCAATGTTGATGAATCAACAATGCATTTTAAATATGGTGTCTTTAAAGAGAAACACACATAAAACAAAGCTATATATTGACCCATTGATGAAATGTTGTGACCAAAGGCAGGCAGGAACCTAGGAGCAATGGTTCAGTATTCACTAATTCAGTTTTTGCAGACACTTTATAGAACATAGCTCCGTGAATAATGAGAATTGACTGTACTAAAATGGGTTGAAACATGGTTTAATGTACAAAGTCTTTCACTATCTGCCTCCTGCCACACCTCCCCAGCCTCCTTTACCACCATTCCCCTTTGAGTGCAATTCACACTATAGCCATTTTGAACTACTTGTAGTTCTGAGAACCCACCAAGGTGTTGGTCATCCCTCTGTATCATTAAGCCTACCATTTCTTCTTCCTGGAAATGCCTTTCTCCCATTTCTTCCTATTTAACTAATGCCTACCTGTACAGTCATGTGCTGCATAACAACATTTCAGTCAACGAGAGACCACATACACCATGTTGGTCTCATAAGATTATAATGGAGCTAAAACGTTCCTATTACCTAGTGATGTCATCTTCCAGTTGTATGAAAGCAGAGCACAAAGAATTATGTACAGTAATAGCTGATAGTGATAATAAATGACTATGTTACTGGTTTGTGTATTTACTATACTTTTTATCATTGTTTTAGAGTGTGTTCTTTCTACTTATTAAAAAATAAGTTTACTGCAAAACAGTTTGCCCTGTTACACAGGCAGCAGGCTCACACATCTCATGTTTACCATGTCTCTTGAGTGCATGATTTTCTCCTGTGTATGATTTAACCTCATATTGTTTTGTTCATCATGGCCCCTAAGTGTACAAAATTCATTGCTAACGTTGCCGGTAAGAGCCCACGTCAAATGATTGACCTGGAAACAAAATTAATATTAAGGACTACCAAAGATGGAAAATCAATGATGGTTATTGCTTGCCAGTCAGGCATGTCCCATTCCACCGTAGCTACGATCTTGAAGAACAAGAACAAAGTGACGGAAGCTCTTAAAGGATCTGCTTCAATGAAGGCAACGAGACTAACAGAAACTTGAGAAAGGCCTGTATCAGACACGGAGAAACTTCTAATGACCTGGATTGAAGACCAGCTACAGAAGCATATCCCTCTCAGCACCATGACAATCACAGCCAGAGCAAAAAGTTTGTTTGCTATGTTGAAAGCAAAGGCTGGACCAGACTACAATGTTGAATTTACTGCTAGCTCTGGGTGGTTTAAGTGATTGAAAACTGTTATTCTTGACATATTGTGAAAGTGAGTGGTGAGTCTGCAACTGCTGATGTGAAGGCAACTGAAGAATTTTTGGAAACTCTAGATAAGCTGACTGTGGAGGAAAATTACTTACCAGAACAAACATCCAATATGGATGAAAGCTCCCTATTCTGGAAACAGATGCCTGAAAGGACTTTCATCCAGAAAGAGGCCAAGTCAATGCCAGATTTCAGGGGTTTTAAGGACAAGATAACAGTCTTGCTTGGGGGCAATGTTGCAGGCTACAAATTGAAACCTTTTGTGATCTGGCACAGTGAGAACCCCAGGGCCTTCAAGCATTTCAATAAGCACACACTGCCAGTGTGCTACAGGAGCAGTATGAAGTCATGGATGACCCAGTTCCTCTTCCAAGATGCCCTCCTGAATTCCTGTACCAGCAAAATGGAGAAGTACTGTTTGTAGAATAATAAATGTTTCAAGATTTTGTTTATTGTTGATATTGCTCCCTGAAATCCTCCTTTTATTGGTGATCTTCATCCCAATATCAAAGTGATGTTTCTCCCTTCAACCACCACCTCTTTGATCCAATCAATGGTTCAAGGAATTATAGCAGCTTTTAAGGCCTACTGCCTGAAGAAGACCTTTGCCCAGGCTCTTGCTGCAACTGAGGAAGACACTGATACAATTCTGGAAGAATTACAACATCTATGACTGCATCAAGGACCTTGCTTCGGCTTGGAGTGATGTCACCAAAAAGTGTATGAAGGGCATTTGAAAGAAGACACTCAAGAGGTTCATCCATGACTTCAAAGGATTTGCCAAGGATGAGGAGGTTGCAAAAATCAACAGGGCTGTGGTTGAGATGACAAACAACTTAACCTGGGTGTGGATGAGGATGACATTGAGGAGCTCCTAGAGGTGGTTCCTGAGGAAGTGACTAATGAGGGGGTGTTGGAACTGGAACAGGAATGCATAGCTGAAGAAGAGGCAAGAGAAAAGGAAACTACAGGAGAAGAAAAAAGAAGAACTCTCAAGAAAATTCACAGTGAAGAGTTCAGCAGAAGCTTTTGCAGAGCTCAACAAGGTCCTTAAAAAGTTGAAAACATGGACCCCAATACCGAAAGGTTTTCATTATTAGAAAGGAATGTTCATGGTGCATTATGCGCTTACGAGCAAACCTATGATGAAAAAAAGAAACAAACCAAGCAAACCACGATAGTCATTTTTCTGAAAAGAGAAACACCTCCTCAAGAAGAGCCTCAGGCAGGTCCTTCAGGACGTAATCCAGAAGAAGACATGGTTATCATAGGAGATCAAAGCCATGCATGTTATTGTCCCGGAAGACCTTCCAGTGGGACAAGATTTGGAGGTGGAAGACAATGATATTGACGATCCTGACTCTGTAAGCCTAGGTTAATGTGTGTGTGTCTTTGTTTTTATCAAAAAGTTTAAAAAGTAAAAAAAAATTACAAAAAAAAGCTTATTGAATAAGGATATAAAGAAAGAAAATATTTTTGTACAGCTGTGCTATGTGTTTGTTTTAAGCTAAGCGTCAAGAGAGTCAAGAATCTTTTGCCTTTGACGAAAGAGTCCAAAAGTTAAAAAAAACTAAAAAGTTTATAACGTAAAAAGTTTACATTAAGCTAAGGTTAATTTACTATTAAAGAAAGGAAGACACCTTTTTATAAATTTAGGGTAGCCCAGGTGTGCAGTGTTTGTAAAGTCTACAGTAATGTCCTAGGTCTTCATATTCACTCACTCACTCACCCAGAGCAGCTTCCAGCCCTGCAAACTCTATTCACAGTAAGCGCCCTATCCAGGTGTGCCGTTTTTTGTCTCTTTTTACCGTATTTTTACTGTAACTTTTCTATGTTTAGATACACAAATACTTACCATTATGTTACAATTTCCTACAGTATTCAGTACGGTGACATGGTGTACAGGTTTGTAGCCTAGGAGCAATAGGCTGTACCATATAACCTAGCTGTGTAGTAGGCTATACCATCTAGGTTTGTGTAAATACACAAGAACGAATCGCCTAATGACACAGTTCTCAGAGCATACCCTCATCATTAAGCGATGCATGACTGTACTTAAAACAACTCAGTGGTCACATTCAAGTCGTTTCTCACCCTCACGTATTCCCCAGTCTGATACAAATGCCCCTTCCTTTGTGCTTCCCTAGGACCCCGTGCATTTCCCTGTAATAGTCCTTGACATAGAGTGCTGTGGTGTAGTCGATGTATTTCTCCTACAGACTCTAAGTTCTTTAAGGAAAAGGATCATGACTTCTTTGACTATAATCACAGGTCCTGACCAATAGCAGATGATCTCCTGATCTTCCAAATAAATGCTTATGGATGAGTTAACTTGTGTGGACCAGGATCCTGCGTGATAGCCCAGTTCCTTGAGCTAGATGGCATATGAGGTACTCATTTAGTCCAAAATAGCATTGACCAAGTCTCAGAGGCCTCACAGACTCATAGGTATTGAACAGACATGTAGTTACTTGTGCAAAAGGATGAGGATGTGCAAGCAACAAACAAGAATGGGAATACAGTCTGTAGGTCACAGAAGAAAGCCACAGTAGATGAGCATTATATAGTCTCTGAAGGAAGTGATACCAGGAAAAGGCAATAGGTCAAAATTTAAGGTCATGGTGCCAAGATTCAACAGCATGTAAGAGAAACCTTGACATGGGAATGAGAATATAGGATCAGGAGTGGAAAATAAGGCAGGACCACTGTCCCAGATTATCCAGGATACTAGACAAGGAAACAGGATACAGAATTGAATCCAGAGGACAAGACAATATTCCATATACTAAAACTTTGGTACAAGAGAGAGACTTGGCTATAAAAAAGAAAGCAAAGTCCTAGAAGCATATACCCTTCCCCCAATCTCCAATCATATTACTAAACATTTGTGTCATTCTTCCTGCCATACCCGCAAAGCTACTTTAGAGCCATCACTATACAAGACAAATTGACCTAAATATGGTAATTTTTATTTCTTTGGCCAAGCCAAAAAAGATTGTTCAAAAATCAATTTAAAAACAGTTGATTCTATTGTTGAGATAAACTCTGTTAAATAACTTTTCAAGGAAAAAAAGGGCATATTTTCATTGTAATAGTAATTCAGTAATTTATTCAAAAAAATTGGAAGTTATTTAGGATAGTACATCTCACCTTTGAAACTTTTATTACAAAGGATAAATTTCTAGAACACTGAGTAAGTAAACACAGAAAGAAAAAAGTTCTTAACTGTGTTTACGATGTTTATGTATTATCTTTGCATTCTCTGGGCTTTATGACCAGCAATGTTCCCAGCAGACAGAATGTAGATGTTGGTGTAGGTATAGACATTAGTCTGTATGTGTGAGGTTGAATTGGACGTGTAGGTCTCAATCCCTCAATCCATACAGGTGAGGACCCTGCCCTGAAATGTAGGATCATAGGACCCAGCTGAACTTTACAGAATGTTTGCCCAAAGCAGCTGAAAACTTTGCATCCTTAAAAAGAGATGTAGGCGAGGTAAGGGTCAGAGCTGAAGAGGCTATGTCAAGCTCAGGCAAGAAGGGCTGAGCAGAGCCATTTGGCCATGAATCATGGGGCCAAAAGTTAGGAGAATCTGATATGGAAAAATTGTGCAAGATTCATTCAAGAAATATTTATCGAGCACTTCTATGTGCCTGGCATTGTTCTAGGCACAGGAGAACAATGATAAACAATAAGAAGAAAAATGTTTTAAAGATGATACAAACTCTGTCTTTATATGAAACTTGCAATCCAATCAGGGAAAGAGAGATTTATGCAAGAATCATATATGATATTAAGAGGACGTTTAATAGATCAGTATTGATCCAATCAAGGGAATCAGGGAGGGTTTCTGCAAAGATTAAGCTGAGGTTTGAAGAGTGGGCATTAATTAGGCCAGAAGGAGGGGGTGGAGTGAGCCTTGGGAGAGCATTCTAGACAGCAGAGGCAGCCATGCAAAGACCCCGTGCAGAAGCTGAATGGCCAGTGCGGTGATGCAAAGGTTAGACCATGGTGAGAACAGTAAGAAGCACCTGCAAGGTTTTAAATGGGGGAATGATAATATCAGATTTATTTGAAAAAGTTCAGGAGACTGTAATATGGAGAATGGATTCAAAGTGGTCAGAGCAGAAGTGGGGAAAACCAGAGTGAGGCCACTGCAATCATCCAGATGGGAGGTGATGGTAGCTTGGATTAGAAAAACTAGAGAGATTTGAGAGAGGTTAGGAAGTAGAAGAACCAGGATTTGAGTCAGGTAGTGGATATGGAAGGTGTCAGAGATAACTCATAGCTTACGGCCTTGCATAACAGGATAGATGGTGCCCTTCTGTGAAACAAGGAACATTAAACGAAGGTCTGATGTTAGGGGGTTTTTTGGAGGCGGGGAAGGGGTTAAACATTCAGTTTAGACTTATAGAATTTGAGGTGCCTTTGAGATAAGCAAAGATAAGCCTATTTGAACTGTCAAGTAGGGCTGTGAATATATGGGCTAGAGAAGTAAGGGCCTGAGTGAGAGAAGATAGCCATCTGGATCGGGTGTCTCCCTCCCCACCCTCTTCTTGCATCCTAATTAGCAGGACAGGAAAGACATACCTGAAAGATGAGGTCAGTCCCATTCACCCATTCATCATATCTCTGTAACCATCAACATAATGAAAACCTTAAAGACTCTTAGTTATTTGCTTGCTAAGGACAAGCCTTGATAATTACTGTAGACTAAGTCATCGGAAGTATATAATTCAATCATATATAGAAATATCCTTAGTATATCTATACTTGATTGAATTTAAAAACATAATGTTCACTTTATGCTTATATTTTTCTCAACATTAAAATTCAAATCTCACTTACTGCTTTTTAAAAAATAAGTGCCTTTGAAAGCAACATTAAAGCAGTTTTTAAAAATCCTGCATGCACTTTTACTTTCATGCATTTGTTTTATGTGAATGTTTTCAAAGGAGCTATGCTCCAGGTAATTATTGGCTTTCCATTAAAATATATGTAACAGAACTAAGAAAAAACATTTAGCAGGACCAAGAAAATACATGTCTTCTGCTTCTTCAAAACAGATAAATTCATTTCTTGTTGAAATCTACATTTAAGAAAAATTGTATTGACTCCTTCTTATGTAATAGCTGATACGTTTTTCCCATTTTAGTGAGCTGTTATTTTTTAAATGAAAATTATGTATGTCAGAACTGGGAATTGAGCCAGGATCAAGCAATTTCCAGGAGGGATGAAAAGGTGCTTAGACATGCATCTTTTTTCTGCAAGTCAGCATTCTTCCTCCCC